GTAAGGGATGACCATCAACTTAAACAAATATGAATTCGGCAAGACCTCATTGAAATTGCTCGGGCATTTGATCAATAATCAATGAACCAGACTAGTACTGATGACGTACAAGCTATTAAGGATTATCCATTACTTGATTCCTTTAAAAATTGCAGCAGCTTTTAGGTCTCGTCAGTTTTCACCACCATTTCATTCCCATCTGTGCTTTACCTTAGACATTTGACACGTAAAGGGTAACAACAATGAAGCTGCAGACCCTTTGTCACGTATGCACATTGACATCATTGTATTTATCGATATCGACTGCGAACGTCTCACAACCCTACAAAGTAACGATTGATGGTGAACAGAAGAGGATTATATCCTCTAAAACGACATCATTAAAACTCAGCGAAGCTCCCTTTGACGAAACGAAAGTAACCTGTGATAAGTCTACAAGTAGATGTTAACCTTTTCTTCCAGCAGCTATGAGGCTCTTAATTGTTTGAAAAACTGCATAATCTCTCACATCCTGGAGTCAGTGATACCACCAAGCTAATGAAGCGAATATTTGTATGACCAAACAGAAACGGAGATGCCGAGAAATGGACGCGACATTGTTTGTCTTAACAACAGGTCAAAATTAATTGTCACATTAACGCGCTCTTTTATTGTTTTCCTAACCACGACTGATAAGGTTACCACATATATATGTATATTGTTGGTCCACTGCCTGCTTCCAATGGTTTCAGCTACGTCTTCATTTGCATCGACAGATTCACTTGGTGACCGTTAGCAGTTCAACTAGCAGACGCATCTGCCAAAACATTCACCAAGGCTCTGGTTGAAAAATGGATAGCTAACTATGGCCTTCGGTCCACTATTACCACAGATGGAGGTTCACAGTTGTAAAGTCGTCTTTTTCAACAGCTCATTAAATCACCAGGATTTAAACGAATACGAACGACCTCGTATCACCCTATTTCCAGTGGGATGGTCCAATGACTTCATCAACTACTTAAGACTGCACTTGCTGCCTCTCTGACTAGAAACGGCTGGTATAACAAACTTCAGCTTGTACTATTTATTACAGGAAGTACTTTAAAGAAAGAAGTTGGGTTCTGCGTTTCCGAGTTACGAGCATCATGCGAGTTTCACACGTTAGATAACTAAGTTCCACTCAAGATGACTGACTATGTGCATCTACTAAGGCAACACATGAATGAGCTATAAATATCACCTCCACGCCATCAGCAACTGTCATCATGCATCCCACCACATCTGACGAACTGGAGGGCTAGTGCAAGGCGATCAATTCAACCCCTCTACTACGGTCTACATAGAGTTCTAGAAAGAAATGAAAACTTTATCACGGAAGAACGATCGAATAATGCAGAAGCCCTCTGTATTGATAGAGCCAAACCAGCGTTTACAGACGACCTCAAAGACAATGATAATGATCAACGGATAGAGGTGCCAAGAGCCTCAATCAGTAAAACCACAATACCAATTATTGTTATGTACTGGTCGGGTAATTAATAGTCCTGACGCCAGAAGGCGGAAATCAGAAAACCACCAGGTTCACGATGATACTCGTATTTTTCAAACATGGAAAATCAATGTCACACAAGATTATGAGCGAAGCTTCAAAAATAAACGAATCAATAGACAGTCTCAACATGATTGGTTGTAATGTCATGTGACAACAAGGTCAGACATGTTTGTTTAGTTAGTGAACAGACAAAAACATATTGTCAATTATAATAGAATATCGATCCATATATACATAGCAAAGTATAACAGACTGTCGAAAACAAACACACATATTATGTGGATGCATATCACCTCCCCTTTGGAGAAGATTGATGATTAATAGCGTGCAGTTGTCTGTTGTCGACGTCTGTTGCTTTGTCTGCTTGTTGAGTTTGCGGCTTCTGCTTTGTCTGGAGTTGTCTGACCTGCGCAATTTTGTTTTTCTCTTTTGTCAGTCGTAGGTAAGTTAAAAGTATCTAAGAGTATATCCAGAGGTAGAGATGACTGTGTACTCGTAGGGATATTTGAGTTTCTTGGACGCAACTGGTTGTAGTGTCGGGTCCATTAATCATTACCAACTTTCACGTCGTACATAACTCGACCACTTCTTGCTGCGATGGAACCTTTATTCCAAGGTTTATGTCCTGCTCGATAGTCGCGGACATAGATAGGGTCACCAACATCAAATTTTTTTCATTCCGAAATGATGCGTCGGCACGTTTGGGTGTCGGTGGTAACATTGAGTTGTGAATCGTTCTAAGTTTGCGTCCGTAAAGAATTTCTGCCGGCGGTTTCTTGTTCTGTGTTGACTCATTCACTGTTGTACGGTGCACCATCAAAAATTTTTGGATGATGTCAAATGGTGTCCCCTCTCCCTCTGCTTTGAGTAAAGCTCTCTTCAAAGTGTCGACAAAACGTTCCGCTTGGCCGTTTGACTGAGGATGATACGGCGGTGTGAGCATATGCTCGATAGCATTTTGACGACAAAACCGCTGAAACTGATGAGAGGTCAACTGCGAACCATTGTCTGTAACCATGGTTTCTGGGAGACCATGATGGGAGGATATGTCAGTGAGCGCTTTGAGAGTCTGCGATGTTGTCGGAGAAACCATTGGTATAACTTCTGACCACAACATCGACGGCTTTTTTAGCCTAATTACATTCAATTGTGTAATGTTTACTGCTTACATATCGTTTTCATCTTAAGTCTTACACATTTTTCCCTTCATGATTGTCAGTTCAATTATTCCTTGTGCAATAACTATTAATAATATTAACTGTCCAATTTTTTTCTTCAAATTTCTGAATTGAGTTGCGTATTTTTTGGATTAACACATTAACAGTTTTCTGTGCACTATCGCTACTATTTATTTCGGAAACCCATATTATTGTGGAAAACTTAAATGTATTATTTGATATTTCACTGTTCTCGGCGTTACCTGTACGCCTATAAAACTAATTCATGTACGCATGTTATACGCTTACAGAAACTAAGTTTTTGGATGCTTGTGGAATATTTGCCACTGTGTTATTGAACATTGCTTTTCTTGTTTGCATATTTATTTAAACGCGGTCATACAAGGCGGACTGCTTAAACCTTAGGTCACCATAATTTTGAATTGAACTTTGTTAAGTATACCGATGATCTAACTCTTCCAACGTCTGTTAACTTCCAGCTTGACTGTCCTAAGATGAATAGCGTTCTATCAGGAATTAGCAAATGGTCTTCGTGTAACGGCCTTAAACTAAATCCTTCAAAATGCCAGACTGTTAATTTCAGTTTTCGATGGAAGCGAAATTTTATTGAAGTCGTTGGTTCCTATGACCCTTGCAAAATTGATGATACTGATTCAAAAATCAAGTCTGAATTTTCGTGTCTTGGAATAATTCTTTCCTCTGAACTATCCTGCTCATCCTATTTCTCAGCGACTTCTAAAAGATTATTTCTTCTGACTTTTATCATTAAGACGTTGAGGCACTCAGGTTGTCATGTACTGCTGCTGAGTGAGTTATTAGAGTATCGATCAATATATACATAGCAAAATATAAAAGATTGTCAAACAAACACACATATTATGTGGATATATATCACAGGTGTAACGCAACCCCTCCTCTTACAGTTTGTCAACTTGTGGATATTACCTATTCTTCCTTACTGTTCTCCATGTTTATTGTTTCTTCGATTGCATGAAAAAGACTATGTCATACTTCGTAGAACTCTGAAGACTGTAAGTAGGACGAGTGGTATCCCATTGGGCCATATCCTTGACATTGTAACGGATAGGCACTTGATGTCATGTAACAAATTTGCTAAAGGAATTTTGTCAAACTCTGAGCATCCACTCTACCCGCAGCTCCAACCTTGTGTCTCTTCAGGTAAAACAAGAAGTCTTCAGAAGACATTATGCACGCAGGTCTAAGTATAAAATTCCACTATCCTATATTTGACGGCACGTACTTTATGTGTTGAAAATTGTGTCAGGCATGAACTAACTAACTAACTAACTTTCTTTGCACTACTAAATAAACCATTTCTTCCACCCTTACAGTACCAAATTTGGTTGCTATTGTATTTCCTACATTTATAATCCTCTCAATTTTTCGTTTTTATTTATTTATTTTTCATAAGTGTGAACATCGTTGAAGCTGTGTTATCACTGTTAATTTTGTATTTTCCCTGCACTATGCTGCTATTACAGCAGAACATTAGATTCAATAATCTATAACATGCTAAAATTTCCAAAATGAATCGACAATACTGTCTGAAACAAACTCACTATCATTAGTATTATTATAATTAATGATCTCAATTCGTCCTTCGAATATGTTTGAGTTTATATAGTAAACGTGAACAAATCCCTCTGGTTACTTTTGTTTTAATCTTTAATTTTATTTATATTTTAAGTAAATCAAATGCAATATTGTGACAAATGCTGAAAGTTCCATTCTGTATTATAAGTACTGTTTTTGGAATAAAGTAAATTATTATTATTATTGATCGTTTTAGCCTTTTTCGAAATTCAATTTGGTTGGCAATACACCTTTCAAGTTTTTACTTTTGCTTCCTAATGCAACGTTATTCATATTTAACCGTGTACAACGTTAACTCATAGTAGAACGTGAACACGTGAGTGTACTATAGTTTTATAATCAGAAAAAGTATAGGTACATCATAGGATGAAGTTTAGTTATTGGACTTTAATTCTTAATGTGCCTTAGATTCTGCAATAAGTTCCATCTTGTAGAATTCTCTAGGAGTGTGTATGTATTATGGCACTGACTAGGGTGTACGTGGTAAACAGTCTTTTTTTAAAACAGAAAACAAAAGCTTTACCAATTATACTTTTATTTTAAGTGTGTTCGCTGGTCTACACGTGAGTGATGTAAGCCAGAGTGGTCGTCAGATTAGCTGAAATGAAGAACAACACAAAATGGCATAGGTGAGAATGGTTAAACACTCTTAATTGTATTAGAGTAAATTTTCAAAATATTAATGAATAAAGTGTGTTTTGGCAGCGTCAGCGGTTCAGTGCTACAACGCCGCGCAACCATACACGTGGTTGCAGATGCACTGAAAAAGCTTGTCTATGGTAAGCGCTAAGAGGAGTAAATTCAGGTGTGAGACTCACAACAGCCTACCTGCTACTGAAACTTCTAGGTTTCACGTCTGAAGCCTTATGTCTTACTTAGATTACAAGAAATGAAGAGTAAAGTGTTTCCATTATGTTTGCGTTGAATTATGATATTAATATTAAGTGATGAACATCGGATGAAACCTTAAGACGGGTTCAAAATTTAGCTCAATTCACTTTATCCATAGAATTCTCCATTCAACGAAGATAGAACATTTAACATTTGTAGCTTTATTCTAGCACTGTTATAAGTTGATTTGTAAAGAATTCAATAAACAAGAATTATGTTTGTAAAACCAATGGTGATTAAGTTTCAATATGAATTTTGGTCACAGTGCATCACCCGATGCGGATCACTGTATAGATATCTCATCGCTCTTTGACATTCTTCAGCAGTTCACGCCTACGACCCTATCAGTAATTGAATTAAGGATCTTATGGTTTCTGGACTAACCTCAATGGCCGTTCAGTCGATTCAGCAATTATTCAATGATCTTTAACTCCTACATTCTGTCATTTCATGTTAAGGTGCCGTTGTCAATCAGCGCCCTTGATGAGTATCCCCTTCATGTTGACATGGCTGTTCACAGTGGTTGTGAATTTCTTGTACATCTTTTTGATATCCATGCGGTAGCTACTAGTGAGCTAATGATCGGAATTTAGACTATGTCATGTTTGTAAGGGTTTAAATTAATTTCAGTGTGAACAAAGCGGCCCTTTAGTGCTGCGTGGATTTGAACAGTCTTTAACTGCTGTTGTTTCTTGACAGGATTTACATCACATAGGCACACCTATCAATAGGCCTTTTCGCTAGCGTGTGATAAGAAATATAATCGCTATTGATGTCATCACTATCGGGTATTAAAATGCCTATGTCAAATAACCTTTAGAACTCAAACGATGGCTACGAATGAGCATGATGAAATGTGCACTCATAATTCATATTCTTTAGCAGTCGTCAGAATGCAGAGTTGCAGGATATTGACTTATATTAAATTGGGAACGAGATAGTGATACTCTGCTGTAATCACTGTTGTTCCTATGAAAACCTCTAGATATTTTCTTATGGGTGCATTGGAAATTCACCTTTCTTACGACAGAAACTTTGTAGAAGTAATAACACTGGTATCGTTGCATAATCCAAATTGTTATTACCATTACCAGACGAAAAGATGCCTGTTGTCGGGCAGTTTTTGTTTTTTATCATTTCGGCCACTCCTGCTGGACCATTCACATCTCCTCGACATTTAGTGACACTTGCTATCAAATGTTTAACAATTCGCTGAAGAGTTAGACAAGAATCAAGCAAATTCATTAAGTGACAGAATCTGTATTATTGCCCATGAATGAGCTGAAAGATCTGCTAATTGAAAGTAACACAACCTTCACAACAACGTATCTACTTCTTCCCCATTTGTCTTAGTTTCTTGGTTAAATGTCCCGATATCTGATAAATTTTCGAAATAAGATTATTCGCATAGTTTATCATGATTAACTGCAGGTCAGATTAGCAGAAAGACCAGTATTACAGAAATCAGACTGCTCACAAATTACTGCTCGAAAAATATGCAGAATCAAGAGTTGATTAACGAAATGGATAAATGTAATGGCAACGTCGAAATTATACTGCACGTGAGACAATCGAGTGGAACCCCGACAGTTTTCTTCGGGCTACACTTCATACTGCTAGGCGAAACAATTGTTAATTGGTCTAAAGAACAACTGCCTACCCTCGACATTAGAGATCGGTTTATCAGCCGGAAAGGATAAATATTGTAGGAATCAGTGAGACAGTCAACAAGCCTATAATCTACTCTGGCGCACATATTCAGAAGGAAGTGCAAAAGGATCGAATATGACAGGCTTTCGCGTGTAGCGGCTGTTTGGAAGCGAAAATTCGAGGGTCCATGAGTAACATGGTGACCGCCGTTGGAGCAAGAGATTAAAACTAGTTGGCAGCCATGAAGCCAGCTGCATGCAACGGAAAATGTGTTGTCTTCACGATTCGCATAGAAACGTTTCTGTATTAGTCAAAAATTACCTGACAATGCTTTCATTATAATTTAATTCTCCTAGAAAGGAAGAGGAAATTATAATTTGATTGAAAAATGTATTACAGGTTGAAAACTGCAGAGTTAAACACATCTTATCAAGTGTCGATTTTCAGGAGTTTAATTGGTCACAGGATTGATCACTTGGTGATATCAGTTAAAAACGACGGTGAAACCAGTAAGGAGTGGTGTACAACTGTTTCAGGAATTCCCAGTTCGGGAATCTTCCACAGCACGCACCTACGTGGTTCGAAACCAAGACCTTCCAGTTACACTAAATATAGATCATCGATTAATAGAGGAGTCGGAATTAACTGACCGCTGGATTGGTTCTCAGTGGCTGAATGATCAACAAGCTGGCCTTGTAGCGAGAAGGTTTGGGCTTTGAACCCTTGTGGTGTGTGCGTATCGCTGAAAAATATCTTATTTAGAGGTATGATTGTATACAAAACGTTGTTCATTCACTTATAGCAGCTTGAACATTCATACTGGAATTGTAGATATAACATCAAAAATAATATTGATTTTAAATGGCAGTGTTAGTTTGCCATAACCACTTCACTGACAACTAGCTTTGGTCAGTGTCTCCAAAATATATTTGATTTTGAATTATATTTAATGCACACTTAAAGCACAAATTATTAATACTATTATTATTCCAGTAGTCACTAACTGGAATGTATGGGTTTGACAGCATATCTATACTTCATCCTCTCTTCTGAAATCCTCTTTAGCTACCACCTCACAAGAGCTCCTCTATAAGAGTGTGAGACTCGAGTCCAACTCATCGTCTGATGCCATTCACTAGTCTTCTCAAGGTGTGTGCAATTGATCTCAATTTTTTCCGGTATTTATGTAGATAAGGTGGTTTTGGTTGAACCCTCTCAGAGTTACTTGTCGACTTTTCCTTCTAGCTATTTATTTTCAGTATGACACACACGCTTACACATTTTCGAGACAACCAGTTACTTTTAATGGTACTACGACTCTCTGAAGCACATATGAGGACTGAATGACTTGAAATCAGTGCTGAAGGTCCGCATCTTGTTCCTTATACTGAGTGAATTGGATTTCTTCACTGGTTTTCCGAAGTCTGTTTTGGTTTTCTGATCGTACATTTGACATACTCATGTTGTTTGCCACCTGTAAATGTAAAACTATGTAGTAGAAATGGGTAAAAGAAGTGACCCTTCTGAAATTCCAGCAGTTGATAGTTATTATTATTTGTTGTTGATCATTATGTAACTTCATGACCTCCGTCTTTTGAATGTCCATCTGAAATCCTTCTTTTCTAAGTCTTCTGCACACCTTGTTTGAATGAAATCGGACATAAATTACTCGCGAAGTCAATGTTTTCTATAGTCTACCTGTTATTCAAACGTATGCCTGTTCTTTCCCTCCCCACGACCTCGCTCACGCTCATGACTCAGTCTAACACAATTGGGAATGTGATCATTGATCGTAGACAGCCTGATCTTACTCCCATCTCCACATCAGAGACTACCATTGTAAATCACATGACATGTAGCTTCTCTAGTGATTATTAAATTACTCACCTTCTGTGAATGAGCTAGATGGGTTAAACACTTACTAATAATTTATGTACATTTTTGGGAGAACAGATAAATATCACAAACCCAGATTCATTGTGAATACATGAAATGTCATTTGCTTACCGAATCTCATTTTAAATTGAGCCAATCTGTTTTCTATAAATACAAAATATCAGCGTAGGTTGAACAGAAGATCAGAAGGTTAGAAAAAGTGACTGATAGAAATTCACAAGTCATCCTTGTTCTGCAACGGTGTATCATATAAATGTATAAATATATGCACCTTTGTGATTTGTGAGCGTAATTTGAGTTGATACACAAATCGGACAATAGTTTTGATTGTGGAAGCACACATAAAAGATTGCCCTATCATTTTCTAGACACCGTTAAAACATCCATGTGTCTACATTTCGGCCCAAATAATCTGGGGGAAATGAAAATCAAGTTGAAAACAAGTGACCATCGATACTTGTTAAACAAACAGTAGATCCCATGACCAGCTTGAACTGCTGGATAAATATTTGGCAGCTGGTTCGGTATGTACACGATCTGTACCTCACCGAAAATGCTATCACTCTCTGTGAATATTGTTGCTTCTCAGATAGGCTCAAATCCTGGATTCCAGAGTCAATCCCCAACAGCAAAAGACAACTTTCTTCCTAAATGGTTTGAGTCAGCTGACAGAAGCCTCTTCCTGACATGGAATTCCTGCTTGTTAGTTATTGTCAGAGAGCGTTTGTATAAACCTGAAGGAACGATGGTGTCTTTTGAGACTGCAACCTGAGCTACTTACCCTGATCACAAAACACAAGGACTATAAGGATAATTTGAGACACTGTCTAACATCAACACAGAAAGCCGCAGTCCCTGAGTACTACAGAATGAAACGCTGACATAGAATGCAGAATATCCAAACCTCTCTACCAATAGACGGTTAGAATGCGTTTGAACGCCTTGGTAAAGTTACAAGAAGGAAGCACAGCGAGTTTCTGTACAAGCGAACAAGCATTGTGTGTTATCGAAATCAGCATTGTAACGGCTCAGCTATTTGCTACAAACTAAGCGGGATTTAGTGATATTAGAGAATTTCTATGGTGTGTGTGTGTGATAGAGGCACTTCTTGTACACACAGGTTGAATAAAAAATTATTCATATTCACAGTTTGCAAGTTTCACAATTTGAGTGATGAAATTTCACCGTGGTATTCTTTGAAAACCAGGTTATTCTGATCATAATATGTGATCTCTTTGGCACCAAAAGTGATAATCAAGAAAGCCAGTAGCAATGCATGAAACTATATACTATTGATTGATTGACATAAGTAGTGTAAAGTTGAATAAATAAAATTAGAAGCAAGATGTAAAAATAGTGGGATATATCATGACGCTTCCATCAAGATTTTTGTATTTCAGGCAATGAGCTTACTAAAGAGAACGTTCTCAACGAACAAACTGCGAACCCTGGTGGCCTTGGTAATGTGTCAGACTGTGCACAGGGATTGAGAAAATAGGAATACGTCAGACCGATAAGAAGACTGAAGTAGATAGGGATTGGGCGCGCGTGGATCACTTATGTCTAGTGTCACATAAACTGAAAGACTTGTAGGTGAAAACCAACAGACTAGCTGAAGAAGCAGGTAGCGTAGACAGGAATCCACGTGATCATAGAGAAGACGGAAGTGATGAAGAGCTTACTTCCTGCACTTATCTGAGAAGCATCGTTTCAAGCACAGGTGGAAGAGATGAAGATGTCAACACCCAGTCAGATTTGGCGAGTTAAAAGATGCGCTCATCAATATGGATGGATTGAACACATGTCAGTGTGGAAACAATTGATTGACATTTCGTTTTTGGCCACCTCATGAATGAAACTCTAATGACAATGTGAAGTTGGGCGTAGTGCAAATGTTGACATAAATGAGATTGCATGAGGAGGCGATGAGAGATTATAGAAAATCGTGCGCCCAATTTAAAAGGACAGCAGAAAATAGAGCAAAGTGGAGACGTTCTATTGAAGGCCATGATCCACTCGGAACCCAAAGGATCAATGATGATAATTATACTATTAGAAATACCACAAGTCAGATTCAAATACTTCTCGTGTTCCACTATATAAGATATGCCTCACCAATATATCCGCAAGCGACGATGCGTAGATTATTTCAAACTGTCAGAAAAATATATCTGTCTTACCTCTGTCCAAATCACGCCTGTGCATCATTTCTTCTACAAACAAGGGGTTAAGCAGAAATAATAAATGAAGATTTGATTAGTAAAGGGGTAATTTCAATGGGCGACCCGCTCACTGCACAAATGTTATTACAGACAGAAAGTAACCGCTTGTTTTCTGATATCACATAAACTAGTAAATCTAGAGCCAGGTGAGGTAGGTAGTGGACAAGTGAATATGGAGAATACGGAGGTGACCAAGATACCCGACTACCAATAATAACAAAAGTCAACCAATATCCACAGGAACCAATTGAAGCATGCTACATCATTCACTTGTCTTGACAGCATCGTTTCGGCCACAAGTAACACGGGTGAAGATATGAAAGGCATAGGCGAAAAGGAGAGATAGTCATTCATTAATATGAAATCGTTGTAGAAATCCATTGCGTGTCGCAAAGATAACCGAAATTCTATACATCTCAGAGACTTAGCTCATCATTTAGAGGATTTAAAACGGACTGCGGACTTTTATCAGCAGCAGTCTTCGCTTCCTACTGAAGATTGTGTAACTAGAAACGACGAGCAACAAGGAGCTCTAGAAACGAATCAACCATGAACCTTTTACGCAACAGATATTACTGCGAAGTTTCAGAAAATACTGTCAATAATCTGCAGTTTTCTAGGAAAAGAAAGTTGAATGCGGCAGGCAACTGTGCAGCTCTTAGTCATTGAAAAACGCTTCCATTTATTTTCCGTCCAGATTCCAGCTTATACGTTCAAGCTTGAGGTTAAAGTTTTCACTAAGAATAATTTTGTTCCTAGCCCCATGCTCAACCACGCATATTTAGCGAAATTACTACTGGTTGAGCGATGTTTTTACAGAGTGAGTCGGATAAAAGTTAACACGGATTACAAGTGCAGTCGGTGAGAAATGTATTCTTGAATCACCTAAGCACTCAGAAGGTGGCATCAAAGTAATATGACAGTGAGTACATCTGATTATCATATAGAAATTACCTTCACTCATCGGCGCTACAATATCGAATGGTCCTGCTGAAATTTGGGTGAGACAGAGACAGTGATTATGTTCACCTTAGGGATTTAATCAAACTAATTTTAAAATGTTCCAATCCCTAATTGAATCTTGTGTGCAAAAACGATCACTTTGTATATAACGTGATAAAATATTCATGCCTAATGTCGCTTATAAGGGTGATTTCAGGTATTTGGAACTAGTGATGATACTTTCATTCAATAGTGATCGGCGTTTTACAGCTTAAATTCTGTTGAACTCACATGGATAACGTGATGAAAGAAGACAAGAGATGCTACCGGAAAAACAACATATTTATACACTTTTGCTAAATATAAGATGGGCTAGACTAGCAGATAATAAGCCAATGAAAATCATGGCGTGGTCACTTTAGACGACCAAACAGAGCGTATACCAGACCTCACAAAAACGACTTGATTCGTGTGTAATGCTTCCGTTTGTGTCTATCATGTACCCAATATTGGATTTCATCATAATGTTGCTGGAAACACTGTCTGTTGAATGCTTTGTACATACTGTCACTTAAATGAAATTTCGGTTGCAACGAATGCTGAAGATTCTGGTGATTACACGTCATTTTGAAGTTTTCATACATAAGAGGTAAAAAATCGTTACTTAAATACACGCAAAATAAATTGTTTTATTGACACTATTTCTGTCGACAAACGCCACCACAATAATTTGTATTCTATTTCATACAGCAATGAAGTATACAAATAAACGATTAAACAAAAAACGGTATTCACCTGGTGCGTTTTCCATTTCCCTATTTGATTTTGACACTGAAATGCAACATTAGTGATAAGTTTTCACAAATTAAGACGGTAATAGTAACATGGAATGAATTAAGATAAGTGACGCTCTTTGCAACGCATGTCATTCAACTTAGTCGAAAACTATACATTACCGCTCGGTTGGAGGTGATAACCAGGAAGCATTGACTGACCTGAAATTCATGCATGCTCACAGACATTAGACTCGTGTCGTGTATACCTCATGTCCCTACTCAGAATCGAACTCGTGTCAACCGGTGCTGCACTCAGAAACGTTACCAATGAGTTATTCGGGCTCGCGACCTACTTCCTGCAGCTCAGCAGTTCAGTGTTCACCGTGTCGACAAACCAGCTAGCATGTCGCCCATATTCCAAGCTTGAATGACATAATTTTGTCTGCTCTCAACAAACCACTACTCGCACGACACTAGTTATTGCGTAGTGTCCAATCAAAGTATCTGACATAGTACTACAAGAAGTTAAGTGTCAGACTGAATGGGTCAGTCTAGCTGCATCACTGGATGATGTGACTTCAAATCTCAGAAGATACATGAGTTCCTTCAGGATTCCAGATAAGCGCAGCTGACTTGTGTGTGTGCGTGGCACGAAACCTGAGTCTGAGGCTTCCTTCCGATTGTCTCTAACCACCTATTAATCACAACTCAGATTGGAACAAGATGGCTATCCAGCTAGGCTGGTGACCACGTTGCAAAGTTAACTGATGGAATGTAGTGTGGAACATACAAAGGCGCAGCCGAATGGCACCAGATGCTCCTTTTTATCAAATCAGAATGTCACCAGTATTTGCATCCCATCACTGTAGTCTATATTTTTATTATTATTTTAAGATTTAAGCTATGTTGTATAAATTAAGGTTAAACTTCAACCTACTCATCAAATTTATTAAACCATGTATCCTGAATGCTGAAAAATAAGAGAAGAGCATGAATTTGAAAAAAATTCCGTTTAAATCAATTAGTCTCTTTTGTAATTTTGCATAGTATTATTAGTAGACGGAGATTATCTGAAAAATAGGATGTATTTGAGCTATACGTCTCATTAAACGACATGTCAGACTTGTCGATTGATTCCCTGTTTGAAAATCTGTATGATCAATTGAGTTCTCTACCTTCTATCTGGACAGATGACCAAAGTTGATTGAAAGTTTAATTTGCAGACGTAGCACACCAATCCCGTAATTCAAGTCGGAAAAAAAGAAGCATTTTAGCACCAACTCATTTTAAAGATCCAGAGGGATTACTTTACACATCCAACTCAGTTATCCTGAAACTTGATAAAGGAACTGATGTATTTCTAATGGACAGAATTGATTACAAAACAAAAATGTTTTCCATTCTTGATGACAGAAGCAAAATCATAGACGGTGTTCCTAGTGATGATATCAAAAAATTGGGAGGAAAAGGTAAAACTTCGTGCCATGCATGTTATCATCCATGAAACTCATGAGATTTGACTTTCCAAACCTCTATGGATTACCCAAGATTCATAAGACTGATAATCCATTGCGTCCGATTCTATCAATGTGTCATTGTACTACACATAAATTAGCGAAATGTTTAGCTGATGTTTAAAGTCCAGTGGGCTATCAATTATGAAAGTTTATTTCCAGGTTCCTCCTTGAGATCACATCTATGATATTTCATTGAAGGATTCATTGCAGTCCATCCAAATCATATTCCTTCTGCATATTTCTCAACAGATGTTTTAATGGCTGCTACACAGTCACAACACCTATTCATTAACACTCTCTCTTCCTATGACCGACAATTCAACTCATAATAATTATATGCATTCAAGGTCTATTTCAACGCGTATACATGAAAGAAGGAAGGACGAAATTTGAAATCGTGACAAGGGGTTTATTTCAAATCCTCTGAAAGTAACACCTGTGACTTTCATTTTCCTGTCTGTGACAGTCATCAAAGTGTGACTGACTCAGACTTTACCGTGAAAGTATTTGAGGCTGATAACTCATGCAACCGTTTCTATGTTTGCAATAAAGTGATGTCTTGAAAACACTCACCTCTTGCAGCATCTTTCATGTTTTGTATACGATCTGGAAGACAAGAGTGAAAGATAATATTTAGACGTTGAACTCCTCATTTTTGTCGCGGCAGTTCTCATCTCTGTTTAGCCAACTACTCACAATCGAAGTTTCTTTCCGTTCAGACAGACTTTCAATGTCTGTTGATTCATGAATGGAAAGAAGTGAGATTCGTGGACGATCGCTTACTGTTCCGGCGACGTATTGCCAACGTGATGAGATGACAGTTGAACAAGTAACTAAAAAGTGAATATGCATATTCGCATGGTGAAGAGTAAGAGGGTCGGTAGCACAGCGGTTAGGGCGCTGGCCGACCGTGCACATGGTCCGGGGTCCGATCCACGGCCACTGACGCACTCCTTTACCTCGCTAAGCCAGTAGTGAGACTAGTAAAGTGGAAAGATAGGGCATGAGGCTAGCAACTCCACCCTGTAAAAATAACCACTGTTACATAAACTTCAAGCCTCTAGCTTGGAGCCCTATATTCCATTGAGAAAGTAAAGGAGAAAAATGGTGAATAGTGACTCATTTTGCTGTGTTTGTCTAGATTCTATTATAGAGCCTTACAATCACATCTCTCACTACAAATTCATTCGACTCAGTTGCGTTGACGAATACTAAACACACATAGTGGTGACAAAAGCGGTCTGAGCAGTCAACTGATTGCATTCCGAAAACACACGGTTTTAGATAGATCGAAATAGAATTCAGCGTAGGGATGTCGTATCTAAAGGCTGTACGACCATATTTACGCATACACAAAAGGCAGATATTGACGGACGTCAGTTAACACCTATGTGAAATGGTTTCCGTGACGTGCTCACCATGCTTCCAACTCACTTCGAGAAACCACTGGTATTGGAAGTTAGAATCTCGCTTCTCAGTGTCAGTGAGTCAGATGGCTGCATCAATTTCAGAGCGATGAACGTCAGCCTTGCATTCCTAATCCTGGCTCGCTTTGACACGCTCACATGTGCCGCCTGAAGCCAAACTATAGGGAATAAGTGACTTCCTTCCAATTTCTTCTCATGATATTGATCGGTACTCGTCGCTATTACTTAGTTATTTTCATCACCTCCTGCTACTTTTTCCCCACTTGAATCAAAAATCTGATAAACGGCTCAGATCAACTAGTGATTATCAAAATTTCGTTGAAGATTATAGCACATTAGGGGACCGAAGTAGATTTCATTATTTGGTTAGTGCGAGGTTAGTTAACAAATCGTCCAGAACACCAAGAGATCTCAACTGTTTACCCAGTGTTAGTGAGGTGTCAAATACTAGCACACAGTTGCTGACTTTTCATGCAAAGACTCCTTCTCCCAACTGATTTCTTTATGTTTACCACCACACATTCGTATCAATATGTTACGTAAATGGAGAACGATATGAACAGAATACGTATCTGTGGTATACTGAATTAGTAAACACTTGAGTTGTTAACAGCAAATTTGCACGGTGGTGTGTCTCTTTGTCCGATTCTCGGTGATATGTCTTCTCTCTTCCACATGAAGCAGATAAATTCTGGTTTCATTCAAATTAATGCATATTTCAGTCCTAAAGGTGCTTCTTGATTGTCTTTGGTCGTGGGCTTGCTAAGATGTCCATTAACTATTCGAGAATCGCTAAACCATTAACAATTATATTTTATAACAGAACTGAGGAGAAGAACGTATGAAAAGACAGTGTTTGTGACCAGTCGGCCATGAAGTGTAGTACTTTCATTTACGACTTAGTGGCATTTTCAATTTTTACACTGTCACTGCATTTATCGATCAAAAATTCACTCTGAAGCTGGCCTTTGGCGGAATGCTTTGTGACAAATTCATGAAAAATTGTTTGTTAAAAGATGTTTCAATTATGCGCTTAATTGACCATCCACAGTTAAAGAAGAGACTCAGTGTGTATTCGTTCTTATCTCGCTGAAATCGATCAAGACAACTGGGCTTAAATGTTTATTGTGTTTATTTCAACCGTCGATGAATTTATGAGAATGGCATCCATCTCTATTTGTATTCTTGTATAACGAAAAAACGTATTGTATACTCTCAACTGACGGTCCCACAAGCACGTATTTGTATAGCATACACTATATTAATGGAAAGGTGCTTGAATTTAAAAAGCCAGCTTGAACAGGATGGAGGGCGTAATCCACACCTATCGTTATGTGATGATGAGAACAAACACGACGAAATGATTGAATCCTTCAGGGGTTTTTCGAAAGATATAGGGGAAATGAATTAAGTTATTCATTCTCCTAAGATTTGAACACATTCGGTGCCCACTCTGTTTCTCAAACTCAAAAATATTGTCGTATATTTCTGCCACCGAGCAGAATATATGTTCAACATACGCCAAAATTTGTAGAAGACAGTATCACAAATGGATGTTACAGTCGAGTTGTCTCTTCTCACTGCACAAGTTTAACTGTATTCTTTCGGAAATAGCGAGTTAAAAGTGAATACACAATACTACTGAACTCACCAGCTGCTGTCATTTTACGTGGGCCTGTAATATTAATGATAATAATATTGTTATTAGTGGTGATGATAATTTTACTGCATAGATAAGTTTGGATCATCTAAGGTCTATGTGAAATTGCAGGTTTTCGTGGAAAAAAACTGCGACAATTTCACAGTCGAATCTCTGCCTGTGATTCGCCATCTTCTCCGATTCTACGAAGTGGAAAATGCTGAGTACATATCATCCTCATTCTACAGCTGTATAATTGTGTCGCATGTCAAGTGGTCCGTAACAAAAAAATCGTTGATAATCATTTCAGAGAACAGGATGAAGGAACGGAAAGGTGCTGGGGAAACCACATATTCCTCCTGGATTCCCAGGCAAAAATATCACTAGGCTGACAAATAACTGTGATTTTCGCTGGAATATGAAGCTTGTAATCATTGTAAATCGTGGAGAATGCAAAACAGTTCAGTCTACAATTATCAAAGTATCACCAAATGAAATCGGGAGAGACTTATCAGCACGTTGGTTGTATGCTATTTGCTCAGTCCCAGGTCGAGTTGTTTCCTTGAATATACATTCATTCTGATATGTTTGACACTGTGAATGGTGATGAAGATAGCAAGTGTAGACTGATGATGCAACAGAATACTGATTATGACAGACCGATATGAGTAGTCGAATGACATTCATATCAAATATTATGCTTGATATTCATATCTGTTTAACCCCATTTGGAGCTAAGCTCATTAGCGGAATGGAGATCCCAGTTCATGGCACACGAATTCGCACTACCAGCTACAACAACTTGATGTAAAAGGTATCATACTACTCATATTACAAAATCCGTAGTATAAAGGTTAAGTTTTTTATTTCCGGTCAAGGAACTTTCCGGTAAGAGAGTGAACAATTGGTAACCATGTTATGTTTCATTTTCATTGACCATACACTGAATACAAGTTATATGATGGAGGATACCACGAATGTTTAGTGTACATAAAATAAACAAGCACAGAAATATTTTATGACTGCGGTGATGAACAACCAATCAGTCAGTTCAATTCGACCCTCGAACATTTACTTCTGAAATCTAGGATGAGAGTGGTTTCACAACTTTCTAGAACTCAAAATCACTCATGCCTTTCCTCAACAGAAAAAAAATAACTTCCGTTATAAATCTTTATTTCCTGGGGTATTCATTACAATGACACGTCGTTATTGGAGTTCATAAATACGGTGGTTAAAATGTATAAGCTTACTTCTTCTGGGTCGATGTGCTACAAAAGAGAGACACAAGTGCTAGAGGTTGAGAAACATGAGGATTAAATTTATGCATCTCTGTCTGAATTTGTCGAGTGTGGGAATATTGTCATTCAAGTTTTGGCCATGTTACTACATTTCTCGAATTCCATTATGGGTAAATTTTGTTTTGATAAAGTCTCACAACGTTATACAGTAATGTTTACTGATGACGTTTCGAGCACAATTTATTGCTCATATTCAAAACAAAATTTACCCATAATGAAATTACACTCTACCACAGTGCACAAGTTTTATTCTTATATCAATTTCTCGAATTATTCGTGGCATGAATTCATTTCTCTCAACTTCAACAACAAGATGAACAGTTTCTTGAGTGAAAATCTCAAAAAGGATGTGCGTCCACTATTTTATATACACAGAGGTGATAACGTCTATTCATCTCGATAGCTGCTTTCCATAATCTCATGAAACGAATCACTAACACCACCCAAAGCATTTCCAACTGGCTGATGCAGAACTCCATCAGCAACTCGTTCTTCAGTCTACAATGAATATCACATAGACATCCGAGAATCGCAAACCATGTCAAGGAACTAGTCAATTGATAACAGTCAACTATACAACAACTTACCCTCTCGCAGGTGTTTAGATAGAGATTTGTGAAATGCTACTGAATTCTGGATGATATCATACTCCACCTCTATATAGGGAACGTTAATCAGGAGCTAATATATACATCTCTACATCAAATCGAATTCATGTATGTCTGAAATCTTATACCATCTTTTCTATGGATCTTTCAAAAACGCATGAATATAGAATCATGTACATACAGTGTATAGTACCAGTTATTGTACGCTACGCATCATTCAAATTAAGTCCATATTACAATCATATTAAGATGGCTGGAAAACGATTTATTATGCTGATTAGGCTTAATAATTCAGACTCCGAAAAAATGCACTGAAATTCAATCATTCAGCATCAGTTTGAATGTGATTGATTGACAACAATCAGAATGAACAGGTCACTTCGCTTACTGGCGAACTGGTCCTCACCAGCTGACACTTACCAGGTATGGAATCACTCGACTTGTCATTGTTATCTGTACAACGAGAGACAGAGAGTGAGAGATAGAGAGAGACATAGAGAGAAATTAGTCGTGTCATATGAAGACAACTCTCACTACGCGTCTTCAATCCTTCAGCTGAGATGTCTGTGGTTGTGTGCGTGTGTGTGTTTCTATGTGATTGATTCACAACAATCAGAATGAACAGGTCACTTCGCTTACTGGCGAACTGGTCCTCACCAGTTGACACTTACCAGGTATGGAATCACTCGACTTGTCATTGTTATCTGTACAACGAGAGACAGAGAGTGAGAGATAGAGAGAGAAATAGAGAGAGACATAGAGAGAAATTTGTCATGTCATATGAAGACAACTCTCACTACGCGTCTTCAATCCTTCAGCTGAGATGTCTGTGGTTGTGTGCGTGTGTGTGTTTCTATGTGATTGATTCACAACAATCAGAATGAACAGGTCACTTCGCTTACTGGCGAACTGGTCCTCACCAGTTGACACTTACCAGGTATGGAATCACTCGACTTGTCATTGTTATCTGTACAACGAGAGACAGAGAGTGAGAGATAGAGAGAGACATAGAGAGAAATTAGTCATGTCATATGAAGACAACTCTCACTACGCGTCTTCAATCCTTCAGCTGAGATGTCTGTGGTTGTGTGCGTGTGTGTGTTTCTATGTGATTGATTCACAACAATCAGAATGAACAGGTCACTTCGCTTACTGGCGAACTGGTCCTCACCAGTTGACACTTACCAGGTATGGAATCACTCGACTTGTCATTGTTATCTGTACAACGAGAGACAGAGAGTGAGAGATAGAGAGAGACATAGAGAGAAATTAGTCATGTCATATGAAGACAACTCTCACTACGCGTCTTCAATCCTTCAGCTGAGATGTCTGTGGTTGTGTGCGTGTGTGTGTTTCTATGTGATTGATTCACAACAATCAGAATGAACAGGTCACTTCGCTTACTGGCGAACTGGTCCTCACCAGTTGACACTTACCAGGTATGGAATCACTCGACTTGTCATTGTTATCTGTACAACGAGAGACAGAGAGTGAGAGATAGAGAGAGACATAGAGAGAGACATAGAGAGAAATTAGTCATGTCATATGAAGACAACTCTCACTACGCGTCTTCAATCCTTCAGCTGAGATGTCTGTGGTTGTGTGCGTGTGTGTGTTTCTATGTGACTGATTCACAACAATCAGAATGAACAGGTCACTTCGCTTACTGGCGAACTGGTCCTCACCAGTTGACACTTACCAGGTATGGAATCACTCGACTTGTCATTGTTATCTGTACAACGAGAGACAGAGAGTAAGAGATAGAGAGAGACATAGAGAGAAATTAGTGATGTCATATGAAGACAACTCTCACTACGCGTCTTCAATCCTTCAGCTGAGATGTCTGTGGTTGTGTGCGTGTGTGTGTTTCTATGTGATTGATTCACAACAATCAGAATGAACAGGTCACTTCGCTTACTGGCGAACTGGTCCTCACCAGTTGACACTTACCAGGTATGGAATCACTCGACTTGTCATTGTTATCTGTACAACGAGAGACAGAGAGTGAGAGATAGAGAGAGACATAGAGAGAAATTAGTCATGTCATATGAAGACAACTCTCACTACGCGTCTTCAATCCTTCAGCTGAGATGTCTGTGGTTGTGTGCGTGTGTGTGTTTCTATGTGATTGATTCACAACAATCAGAATGAACAGGTCACTTCGCTTACTGGCGAACTGGTCCTCACCAGTTGACACTTACCAGGTATGGAATCACTCGACTTGTCATTGTTATCTGTACAACGAGAGACAGAGAGTGAGAGATAGAGAGAGACATAGAGAGAAATTAGTCATGTCATATGAAGACAACTCTCACTACGCGTCTTCAATCCTTCAGCTGAGATGTCTGTGGTTGTGTGCGTGTGTGGGTTTCTATGTGATTGATTCACAACAATCAGAATGAACAGGTCACTTCGCTTACTGGCGAACTGGTCCTCATTAGCTGACACTTACCAGGTATGAAATCACTGGAGTTGTGAATATTACCTGTGTGTAGAGAAACAGGTGTTGGATATGAGCAAAAGTTTTTTTCAAGTATGTTATGATTGACTACTGAAACAAACATTATTTCATTTTCAATCTGAGATTTTTCAAATATTTTATTATTTTCCAATTTTTACAGCGTATGTTTTTTTCGGGTGGCTTAGGCTATCCTAATTTCATTTTCTTCTCATATGTCATATGAAATGTCACTCCAGTCGTCCTATTACATTAGATTGTGATAATTTTGACAGAGTTTACAAGGTAAAACGGTAATAGGAATATCGAATGAATTAAGATAAGTGACGCTTTTTGCTAAGCGTGTCATTCTACTAAGTCGAAAACTGTACACTACTACTATGTTAGAGATGATAAGCAGAAAGCATTGACTGACCTAATGTTCGTACATCCTGACAGACATCAGCAATGCGTATCCAAGAAAGTGAAGATCCTCATATCTCTACTCACATTCGAACTCGTGTCAACCGGTGCTACATTCAGAAACGTTACCAATGAGTTATTCGGGCTCGCGACCTACTTCCTGTAACTCAACAGTTCAGCGAGCATCCTGTTGACGAGCTAGCTAGCATTTCGCCTATATTACAAGCTTGACTCTCAACAAACCACTACTCGCACGACACTAGTTATTGCGTAGTGTCCAATCAAAGTATCTGACATAGTACTACAAGAAGTTAAGTGTCAGACTGAATGGGTCAGTCCAGCTGCATCACTGGATGATGTGACTTCAAATCTCAGAAGATACATGAGTTCCTTCAGGATTCCAGATAAGCGCAGCTGACTTGTGTGTGTGCGTGGCACGAAACCTGAGTCTGAGGCTTCCTTCCGATTGTCTCTAACCACCTATTAATCACAACTCAGATTGGAACAAGATGGCTATCCAGCTAGGCTGGTGACCACGTTGCAAAGTTAACTGATGGAATGTAGTGTGGAACATACAAAGGCGCAGCCGAATGGCACCAGATGCTCTTTATTATTAAGTTAGAATATCAGCAGTATTTGCATCCCATCACTGTAGTCTATAGTTTCATTATTATTTAAAGATTTATAACATGTTGTATGAATCAAGTTTAAAATTCAACTAACCAAGGATGGACAACAAACGCTTTATCTCTTTTGCTGAAAAACGAGAGTACAGTGTTCGTTTGAGAATATTCTGCGCATACGTGCCATATAATCAATTGTCCAAACAATCACACACTTCAGATATTTGTCATGAGGCTGCATAGTTAGCAACTTCAGAAAGTCAAACCTTTGCTGTACCGAAAGAACGAGCTCACTGTGGTTGTCGATTGATCTTCCGACTAGAGCATACAGCTTCAGCAACACATGTCCTTATCACACTGTTCTCTATAATTCTATTAAGCTGGCGCTGCAATTTTTTCAAAAGACCTCATCTACTCCTTACATTATTTCTTGTGTTTCGAATTTTGGCACGCGTTAAATGATCGTCCTATAGATGTTCCGTTCGAAGTGTCAAATCTATGATATTTCAGTGATGTATTCATTAAAATTCATCCAAACTCAACCTATTCTGCATATATATCGACAGAAATTTTGTTGACTGCTACATAGCCCAAGCACCTTGTTATTAATTCACAATAATTAGGTACATTCGAAGTCAATTTCAACTTGTATAAATAGAAAGAGGAAAGGTACAATTTTGATGGGTGGTTTAGTTCACATCTATTGAAAGTAACATCTGTGGCTTTCATTTTCCTGTCTGTGACAGTCATCAAAGTGTGACTGACTCAGACTTTACCGTGTTAGGGTCTGAGGCTGATAATTCATGCAACCGTTTCTATGTTTGCAATAAAGTGATGTCTTGAAAACACTCACCTCTTGCAGCATCTTTCATGTTTTGTATACGATCTGGAAGACAAGAGGGAAAGATAATATTTAGACGTTGAACTCCTCATTTTTGTCGCGGTAGTTCTCGTCTCTGTTTAGCCAACTACTCACAATCGAAGTTATCTTCTAGTAAGACAGACTTTCAATGTCTGTTGTTTCATGAGTGGAGAGAAGTGAGATTCATTCACGATTGTTTACTGACCCGGTGAATTACTGTCAACGTACTAAACTCGTAGTTGGATGACAGCTGAACAAGCAACTAAAAAGTGAATATGCATATTTGCATGATGAAGCGTGACTCATTTCGCGGTTTTGTGTAGATTCTATTAAAGAGCCTTACAATCACATCTCTCACCGCACGTTCATTCGAATCAGTTGCGTTGACATATAATCAACATAAATCGTAGTGAATTAAACGGTTTGAGCACTCAAAAGATTGCTTTCAGAAGACACAGGGTTTTAGATAGATTTAAATAGAAATCATTGTAGGGAATTCGTTTTTCATGTCTGTACAACCGTATTTACGCATAAACAAAACATGTTGTAATGAATATTATTCTTTTGGGTTCCAAGCGGAACATGGAGCTTTAACACCATCTCCTTCTCGCACACTCATCTAGTCGTGCTACATTATGGTTCCACTCAAGAGATGACTTCATTGTGGCTCTGATCAATCTACACATTCTTCAAAATATTTCTCAGTTCATATGTTCCCGGTTGTTTCATTTCCAGAGTGGCCTGTTAATGATTTTCACCGGCCATTCCATATCCAAAATGCGGTGAAGGCAGATGTTGATGGAATTCAGTAGGCATCTGTTGAAAATGCTTTTCGTGACATGCTTACCAGTTTTCTGTCCAATTCGGAAGAGTCACTGCTGTTGGACGTTCGAATCTCGCTCCTCAGTGTCACTGAGTCATATAGCTGCATCAGTTTTACAGTGATGAACACAAGTCTTGTCTTTGTGATCCTGTCTCGCTTTGACACGATCACACGTGCGCCTGTATTTGAAACAATGAAGCCAAAATAGGGTCAGAAGTGATTCCCTTCGAGTTTCTTCCCTCGATACTGATTGGTGCTCGTTGTTATTAGCTGGTGATCTCAATCACCTATGGCTACTATATCATCACTCGAAGACCTGATCTTTCTGCTATTTCTGCCGATTTGTTGATTTGCTCTTGTGAGTGTTTGAATCCATGTGTTATCCGATAGGACTGGTCCATGAGGTACACATCTTCTACATTATCCTCATCGAATCAACGCAGTTCTGTATTCTCGCTGCCTACACGAAATCTGACGTACTATCCAGCTCACCACGACTCGCAATATCGCTGATGATATTAGGCAGATTTGTCACTGTGCTTTCCGTAGTGGGTCACTTCACATGCGATATTGTCATACATCCATTAAGTGGGATTGCTTGCAATCTGATGACATAATACTTGGAGCATTTTGCTAGTTAGAAAATGCGGGATGAGAATGTAGGGACAATTACAGCCCATCGTCATCTCAATTCTAAAGCACCTGACGACTTCACGCCACTCAGCTGAAACGAAATCCTCACTTAGAAACCTCCACAACACAAAGTTGAACGGTTGAAAATGAGTTATCTCGCCTTAATTCTGTACGGTGTAGGTTGTTTGTCCAACATCCTTCACAAGTGTTGCGTGGACATTCAGCCATTTCACTCCTCGTACATAAACAAGTTTCACTCTGTCATACTTCAAACCTTGTCTTTCATCTCCTTGTTGACTAGTGGTAAATCTATTATTTTGTCTTAACAAACATCTATTAAGTAGTGGTTTCTAGTATGTCATACGTTACTATCAAAATGTTATCCGGTTTAGTGAATATGAAGACGATTGTATTAGCCGTTGAAGATAACTGTGTCAATAAAAACGATTTTCTTCTCTGAAATGTATAATATTTTCTTCAAGATTCACAGGGTATTTTCGATCTTTTGAAACCGAGGCTTATTTACGGACAACATTCAGTGTTTTCAATCTTCACACTGTCTCTCCGTTTTTTCGACTTCACAATCGATTGGAAACCTACTCTGAAACTGGCCCTCGTATTCGCACATCTTTTCAGAATGCTGTGCGACGAATACATGAATGAATTTCTGTTAAAAGATGTTTCAATTACGTGGTTAATAGATCACTGACAGTTGCAGAAGAGACTCAGTACGCATTCGTTCTTATCTCGCTGAAATCGATCAAGAAGACCGGGTGTGAATAGTGATGTTTATTTCAACCGTCAATGAATTTATGAGAATGTCACCCATCTCTGCTGTATTCTTGTATGACGGAAAAGCGTAATGTTTAGTCTCAGCTGAAAATTTTACAAGCAGGCGACATGGTGTCAATAAGGTCTGGTATATGCATATCTATGAATGCCTGGACAGATGATGTTCAGAATCATTATATGAGTATTTTATGGTCAAAGTTTCTGTTAGTTTGAAATACGCTGAATAAGCCAAGCCATACGTATCTTTAAAGAGCACACTATATTGATTCACATGTGCTGGGATTTAAGAATTCAGCTTGGACAAGATGGGTGGCGAACTCTGCAGCTGTCGTTATGTGAAGAAAAATAAAACAAACACGACGAAATAGTTGACTCCTCCAGGAGGTTTTCCGAAGATATTAGGCAAAGCATTAAGATTATTTATTCTCTTTATATTTTAACACCTTCGTTTTCCTTTGTTTCTCGAACTCTCAAATGTTGTGGTACATTCCCGCCTGCGAGCAGAATATATGTTACAGTCTAGCTATCTCTTGTGACTGGACAAGTTTAACTGTATTCTTTTGGAAATAAGGAGCTGAAGGTGAATTAATAATACGACTGAACTCACCAGCTGCTGTCATTTTACGTGGGACTGTAATATTAATGATAATAATATTGTTATTAGTGGTGATAATAATTTTACTGCATAGATAAGTTTGGATAATCTCAGATGCACGCGAAATAAAACGTATTCGTAGAAATTAAAATGCCACCGATTGAGTGTCAAATCCCAACCTCATCTTCATCATTATCATTGACACTACGGAGTGAAATGTCCCGAGCATATGTCAGCTTCATTCAACAGCTGTATGATGATGCTGCATGTCAAGTGGTGCGCAACGAAAATGTTGTCGATGAGGATGTCAGAGAAGAGGTCTAGAAACTTTTGGGTAAGAGAGTGAACAATTGGTAACCATGTTATGTTTCATTTTCATTGACCATACACTGAATACAAGTTATATGATGGAGGATACCATGAATGTTTAGTGTACATAAAATAAACAAGCACAGAAATATTTTATGACTGCGGTGGTGAACAACCAATCAGTCAGTTCAATTCGACCCTCGAACATTTACTTCTGAAATCTAGGATGAGAGTGGTTTCACAACTTTCTAGAACTCAAAATCACTCATGCCTTTCCTCAACAGAAAAAAAATAACTTCCGTTATAAATCTTTATTTCCTGGGGTATTCATTACAATGATACGTCGTTATTGGAGTTCATAAATACGGTGGTTAAAATGTATAAGCTTACTTCTTCTGGGTCGATGTGCTACAAAAGAGAGACACAAGTGCTAGAGGTTGAGAAACATGAGGATTAAATTTATGCATCTCTGTCTGAATTTGTCCAGTGTGAGAGTGTTATACCATTCAATTTTTCGACATATAACTGCATTTCTCGAACTATTCATGACAAAAATTGATTTGTCTCAACTAAAGCAATAGGATAAAACATTTCTTGAATGATAATCTCATAAGCGATGATCATGCACTATTTTATCAACACATCATGTGATAACTTCCATTCATCTCGGTAGCTGCCTTCTATAGCCTCATGAAGCGAATCGCTAACATCACTCAAAGAATTTGCATCTTACCTTTCAGTGAACAAGTGATAACAGTAAACTAGACAAAAACCTACCCTCTCGCAGGTATGTACGAAGAGATGGAGATTTGTGGAATGCTGCTGAATTCTGAATGATATCACACATCAACCTCAATACGGGAACCCAAATAAGGAGTCAGTATGGAAATCTCTACAACAAATCAATCTCATATATGTCTGTAATCATATATCGACTTTTCTACGGATCATTCAACAACACGTGTATATAGAATCAGGTGTAGGTAAGTGAGAAATGACTTTTGTTCATGTGGTCATCTCAAGCTGCTATTATCCCGCCTTTTTCAAACTGATTTTAAGAATGCGAAATCATGGTAAACTTTTATCATGTTTCACGTGATGAGATTATGCTGTGTACACCGGCTCGAAATTATTGATTTCAAAGATGCAGGCTGCAATTTTAACCATCGTTGAGGCATCAATCCATTTAGGGCTAAAGACATTTTATTTGAATATGTGCAGTGGCTTGCTCATCGACTGTGTTCAACCATCCGAAACGAACTCACGTTATCGAGGTTGGCGTATTGAAAATTCATTGGATGAGACAGATTCTACATTGCATCCAAAGTCTAGACATGTGATAAAAGTATGGAATAGTGGACACGGAAAGCGTTTGCTTTCGTGCAAGAGAAGATTTGGAAATTCTCGTGACATTTTGCCTTCAGGCGATCAGCTGAGATGTGTGTGTATGTGATTAATTCACAACAGTCAGAATGAACAGGTCACTTAGCTTACTGGGAAACTGGCCTTTACCAGTTGACACTTACCAGGTATGGAACCGTTGGAGTTTTCATTGTTACCTGTATATAGATAGAGATATGGATGACAACAAATGAGGAGAACTCTTACGTTGTGTCTTTTTAATCTTTTAGCCAATAAATATATCTTTGAAACTTTTGTTGGTTGATGTTTATCTTTTCATTAGCTCTTTTGTATTAAAGTTGGAATATATCCTGAGTTCGTCATCGTTAGCATATCTGCATTTTATCATTTTCTTTTAGTTTCCTTTTATATGCCGCCTATGAAGTTCTCCTGAGGAAGACTTTCAGACTCGTGTTCAACTCATCGTCTGCCATTTGTGCTTCATTCTAATACCGCATGACTGATGCCTTCCAATGATATCCTCAAGGTATGCCTAATCCATTTCAATTTTTTATGGTATATTTTGGGTGTAAAACGTTTTTGGTCAATTCCATCTCACATTTTTTTCTCGTCCATTCATTTCGGGAATTTTTACTACTCTCATCTCCACTTCACAGGCTCTTCCGATCTTTCCATTGTAAATCACCTGACATGTAGCTTCTTCAGTGGGTAACGTCTGTTCCTATTATCAAGTTATTCGCCTTCTATTCATTAGGTGGATGGAGAAACACCTGCGAATAATTTATGTATATTTTCGAGGGAACAGATAAATTTCAGAATCCCAAATTCTTTATGAAAACATGAAATGTAATTCGCTTACCGGGTCTCATTTTAAATTGACCCAATCTGTTTTCTATAAATATAAAATATCAGCGTAGGTTAAGTAGAAAATCAGAAGTCTAGTAAAAGCGACTGATAGAAATTCACAAGTATTCCTTGTTCCGCAACGGTGTCTTATAATAATTTGTAAATATATATGCACCTTTGTTGTGTTGGAGCGTAACATGGATTGGTACAGGAATCTGACAATAAGTTTGTTTGTGGAATATGGCGTGGAAAACACACAGAAAGACTTTGACAGACACAATCACTGAGAATCCAGACTCATCCGGCTGACAAGTTCCAAACAGGAAGAAGCACATATCGGTGATTGCACTGTCATTTTGGAGACAGCTGATGTGTCTGCATTTCCGTTTAAATAATCAGGGGAAAAAGGAAAATTTAGTTGAAAACAAATGATAGTCTACAGTTGTTGAACAAACGGTGGATCCCACGAACACCTTGACCTTTCGGATAAATATTTGACAGTTCGATCGCTAGACACTCTGCCTGTGTCTCCCTGACAATTCCATCACTCACTTTGAATGTAGTTACACCTCAGATAGGTTGAAATCAGCATCCTGGATTCCGGAGCCGATTGGCATCAACAAAAGACAACATTCTACTTAAATGGTTCGAGGCAGCCGATAGAAACTCCTGCCTGACATGAGATTTCTACTTTTTAGCACTTGTCAGCAAGGCGTTTGTACAATGTTGAAGGAAAAATGGTGTCTTTTGAGACTGGAACCTGAATTGGTAATACTGAAGCGTTGTCATAGACATAACGAAGTTCAAAGACTATACGGATGATATGAGATTCTGCATTCACTGAGTACGCCATAATGAAACTTTTACTCAGAATGCGGAATATCCAAACCTGTCATCTATCAAATGGCTAAAATCCGTTTGAATGCTTAGGGGGTTGCAGATAAAGACCTAATAGCAACAACAACTATCACCATCAACAAGAGAGTCTTAAGACAGGTTACCTTCTTAACGTATGTAGGAGGCAGGGTTTCCAACACAGGTGGATTGTTTGAATATTTCAACACCAGAAAGAACCGGAAAGGTAAGACATAACTTCCTTAATATGCATTCAGTCTGAAATATTTTGCTGTAACTCGGCATAAGGAACAGGCTTTGGATTTTTGAACACATTTGTAGAGTCAGACAGTTCATCTATGTGTGCTGGGAACTTGGCCAGCGCGTCACGTAAATTATTTTCAACAGCCTACATAAGACTTTTATCAGCACTAGTCTTTGTCAGCTCTATAATGATAATGGCCAGTCAGAAATAATTAGCAACAAGAAACTATGGAAATAAGCGAACGAAAAAGCTATCGCTCGTCAAATATGTGGGGTTAATGGAGATGGATTGAGCACACGCCAGTGAGGCGAAAATTGAATGACACCTCATGATAGGCCATTGCTTGACTGAAACGCAAATGGGAATGTACGAGTTGGGTGTGGTGAGAATGTTGACATAAACAAGATCGCGCGAGGAGGCTATGGGAGATTATAGGCGATCGTGGGCCCAGCTTAAGAGGATAGCAGAAAATATAACAAAGTGCAGACGTTCTAATGAAGGCCACGTTTCACTCAGAACCCAAAGGAACAATAATAATAATACCATTCGAAACACCGCAAGACAGGACGATTTATATCTGATGTTCCACTTGTTCATTCCGCATCGTTTCAGCCACAATCAGCGCGGGTGAAGATATGAGAGGCATGGTCGAAAAGGAGAGATAGTCATCCATTAATATGAAATCGATGTACAAATTTACTGCCTCTGGCATAAATAATAAAATTCTGACTTTAATAATAGTGTCAAGTCGCTCAGTGCTTCAATATGGCTCAGCTACCTGGCTCATCATGCAGAGGATTTAAAACGGACTGCAGACTTTTATCATCAGTAGTCTTCGCTTCCAACTAAAGATCATGTAGCTAGAAACGACTAGAAACAAGGAGCTCTAGGAACCAGTCAACCATGAGCCTATTACGCGACCAAAATAACTGAAGCGTTTCAGCGAATACCGTCAATAATCCACAGTTTTGTAGGAAGAAAAAGTTGAATGTGGCAGTCAAATGCGCAGCTGTTTTTCATTGAAAAGCGCTTCCGTTCATTTTCCGTCCATGTTGCAGGTTATGGCTTCGAGGCTAAGGTTTTAATTTTCACTAGGAATTTTTTTTTTGCTAACCTCACGCTCAACCATGCGTATTTCGCGAACTGACTACCGATTGGGTGATGTTGTTCGGGAGTGAATCAGATGGATTATTATTATTATATCCTTTTATTCCTAGAGGAACATAGGGCTTCAGCTGCGCGTCTTCATTGCCTTCGGTTTTCTGCCAACTTTTTCACCCCGCTCCAAGTCTGCCCTCTCCTCCTCACATGACCTCCTACAAGTCACCCTTGCACTGACGACCAACTCGCCGCCTCCCTTTCCGGCTCCACTCAAGCGATGGCCTGTCTAATGATGCCACTTGATGGTTTCCTCAGCGTATGACCAATCCATCTCCATTTCTTCCCGCCTATTTATTACAGTCGGTTCGCTCCCAGAGATGCCTGTTGCTGACGCTTTCTGGCCGGCCATCTGATCTTGAGTAGCATTGAGCGAAGACAACTGTAGACGATGGTCTGAAGTTTGTTTGAGTTGCTCTTTATGACGCGCTGGTCAAGTCTCTGATCCGTATGGTGAGTGGTAATGACTCCACATCCGGATCTTATTTTTGATGTTGAGTGCTGTTGACCTCCACATGGATTTCAGAGTAATGAAAGCTTGTCATGCTTTCCCGATTCTGACTTTGATGTCCTCGTCAGTTCCGCCTGACTGTAGTTGAAACGATGCTTCTCAGGTAGGTAAAGGAGGTTGTTTGTTTCAGGTTCCTCCCATTTATGCTGGCTGATAATTGTCTGTTGCTGTTGCTGTTGGTGTTGGCCAGGAATCTTCGTCACCTCTGTTTTATCTACGTTCATCTGAACTCCTTCCTATATTTGTTGCTTTTCACTTGCATATCTTCCAGTTTGTGGGAAACCAAGCATATATCATCGGCGAAGTCCAGATCCTCCAAGCTTTCTGTGTGAGTCCATTTTATGCCTGTTCCCTTGTTGCCCGCTGTCAATCAACTGCAATCAGGAGAATCATTGGCGACAGTAGGCAGCCTTGTCTTACTCCTGTCTTCACTTCGAAGGATTCCGTAAGTTTCCCGTTGTGGATTACTTAGCATGCAGCATCGTGCAACTGTTGGATGAGATGTATAATTGTCGATGGAACCCCGTAGTACCGAAGTAGTTACCAAATCACCTCTCGATCGACGCTGTCGAAGGCCTTTTCAAAGTCGATGGAGTTGTGAGTGAGGTAGAGAGGTGACTGCCATTCCAAGCTTTGTTCAATGATGATCCGTGGAGTGGCGATTTCATCAATAGATGACTTGTTTCTCCTGAATTCAGCCTGTTCCGGTCGAAGTTTCTCATCCAGAGCGGCGTGTTTGATTCTCTCCAGGATGATGCGGCCTAGTATTTTGCTTGAGATGGACAGGAACATAATTCCGCGCCAGTTTTTGCATTGGCTTAAGTCTCCTTTCTTTGGTAGTTTGAATAAGTATCCTTTCTTCCGATCCTCGGGTACTTTACCCTCTTTTCACACCTTCTCCAGTAATGGCGTCATCAAGTCCGCTGTTGTCTCTGGGTCCATTTTCAATTCTTCTGCTGGGATTCCATCTGGTCCTGCTGCTTTTCAGCTTTAAGCAACTTGATTGCATTCAGGACTTCTGATTTCAGATGGAAATTACCGATGATTACTTGTGTAGTCGGTGAGCACTGTATCTGTGAAACACCTGCGCACTCAGAAGGTGGCATCAAAGCGATATGACAGTGAGTAAATCTTATTATCATGACGAAATTACCTTCACTCATCGGTGTTACAACGGCCAATGGTCCTGTTGAAATTCGAGAGAGAGATAGACAATGATTATCTTCCCCTTAGGAATTAAATCAAACTAATATTCAAAAGTTTCAAACTCAAATTGAATCCTGTGTGAAAAAATGATTACTTTGTATATAACATGATAAAATAATTATGCTTAATGTCACTTATAGTGGTTATTTCGGGTATTTGAAACTAGTGATGATACTTTCAATAGTGATCTGTGTTTTTCAGCTTTAATTCTGTTGAACAAGCATGAATAATGGACAAGAGAACACAATCGAGGCTAACGGTATAACACATCAGAATTATACACTTTCGCCACATATAAAGTGAACTAGACCAGCAGATAATAAGCTGTTTTGATTGGTTGTAGATTTTTCGTAGACGATGGCATTGTGCAGAGAGGTTTTCCATTAAGTTTACTTCCTGATTAAAAGGTTAACTAAATCCACACTTGAGGAATAAACGCTTCTACCTCTGAAGCCCATTACTTGTTGAAATGTTTTCTTCGATTCCTATTAATTTGCATAAATATAATGCTGGTAAGTCTTGTCATTAATACATGTCAGAATAACGATATTATCACGGTCAGCAGCCATAACAACCACAGTTCACCTTCATATCCTTTGTTGATATATTCACGACGGCCTCTTTAAATGACCTTGTCCGTACAATGGTGTGTGAGCTTCTGTCTTTATCTCGAGAAGCTTTTATGTGGCAGTGCACTTTTATAGCCTACGCCGGGTGAAATCTATTCACTAATTTCCCGCGCCAAACGGTGTCACAAGCAGAAGTGAGACGGTGAAACTGAACATTGAGCACTAACAATCAGACTTTTGTACGTTTTGAACTACGTAGGAAGGGAGGAGCTGGACATCTGTGGTTCCAAACCATTGATGTACATGGGCTTCATCGACCTAAAGGATTGGATGGTGTGCGAGCCTGTTTTGGCCACTACAAATTATCGCGGCTACGTGGTCACTTCAGACAGCCAAACAGGAAGTATCACAGACCTCACAAAAACGAATTGATTTTTGTGTAATGCTTCCCTTTGTGTCTATCGTGTAACAATATTTGACTTAATCATAATGTTTCTTGAAACAGACTGTCTGTTGAACGCTTTGCACATACTGTCAATTAAATAGAATTTCGCTTCCTATAAATGCTGAAGATTCCAATGATTGCACGTCATTTTAAAGTTTTCATACATGAGAGGTAAAATGCTTTACACAAACACGCGAAAAGCGACTTTTTTGACACGATTTCCGTCAACAAAATCCACCACAATTAATAGTATTCCATGTTATTCGGCAGTGAAGTATAGGAATAAACAATTACACACAGAGGGATATTCACCTGGTAGGTTCTCCATTTCCTTATTTGATTTTGACACTAAAATGCAAAATTAATAGAAATATTGAATGAATTAAGATAAGTGACGCTTTTGTCTACGCAGTCGAAAACTGTACATTACTACTCGGTCGCAGATGATAAACAGAGAGCATTGACTGACCTGGTATTCGTGCACGTTGACAGACATCAACAGGACGTATCCATGATCTCGAAGGACCGCATGCACTACTCAGAATCGAACTCGTGTCACCCGATGCTGCAGTCTGAGACGTTAGTAATGAGTTATTCAAGTTCGCGACCTACTTCCTGTCGCTCAACAGTTCAACCTGCAACATGTTGACCAGCCAGGTAACATGTCGCTTGTATTGCAGGCTTGACTACTAGAATTTTGTCTGCTCTAACAAACGACTGGCACTAGTCACCACGTAGTGTCCAATCAATGTATCCAACACAAACCTACAGGAAGTCAAATGTCAGACTGAATAACTCAGTCTAGCTGCATCACTGGCTGATGTGACTTATAATCTCAGAAGGGAAATCAGTTCCTTCAGGGGTCTGAGGCTTCTTTCCGATTGTCTCTAACCACCTAATAATCACAGCTCAGACTAGATCAAGATTGATGTCCAGCTAGCCTTTTGACCACGTTGCAAGGTGAACTGATAGAATTCAGTCGTCACCGAACAAAGTCGCCGACACATGGAACTAAATGCTTCCTGTTTTCAAGTACTTGCATCCCATAACTGTACTTTATAGTTTCATTATAAATTAAGGGTTTATGATGAACTTCGACTTACCGAGTATGTTTATTAAACCCTTTATCTTGATTGCTGAATAATGAGAGTATAGTGTTAATTTGAGAATATTCTGCGTATAAGTGCCATTTAATCAATTGAACAAACAATCACACAGTTGAAAATATTTGTCATTAGGGTGGATAGTGACTAATTTTAGAAAGTCAAGGTCTTGCTTCACCTCAGGATGCAACTCACTGTGTTCGTCAATTGATCTTCTGCCAAAAACATAGGCATTCAGCAACACATCTCCTTAACACACTGTTTTCTAAAACCTTCTTAAGCTGTCCTTGTGATTTCCTATGACACCTAATCTCCTGCACTCCCTCTCACCCACGCCGAAATCGTCGCCCGCATTTCAGCTTCCATTCGAATGCTGAAACTATAATATTTTAATGAAAAATTCTTTGCAATCCATCTGCACATTTGTCAACGGAAATTTTGTTGGCTGCTACATAGCCCAAGCACCTTGTTAATAAATCCCACTAATCCACAATTCAACTCATTTCAATTATGTGCATTCAAAGTCGATTTCAACGCGTATATATAGAAGGAGGAAATGTAAAATCGTGACAACTGATTTATTTCAAATCCTTTGAAAGTAACATCTGTGGCTTTGATTTTTATGTTTGTGACAGTGATCGAAATGTGACTGACTCAGACTTTACCGTGTTAGGGTCTGAGGCTGATAATTCATGCAACCGTTTCTATGTTTGCAATAAAGTGATGTCTTGAAAACACTCACCTCTTGCAGCATCTTTCATGTTTTGTATACGATCTGGAAGACAAGAGGGAAAGATAATATTTAGACGTTGAACTCCTCATTTTTGTCGCGGTAGTTCTCGTCTCTGTTTAGCCAACTACTCACAATCGAAGTTATCTTCTAGTAAGACAGACTTTCAATGTCTGTTGTTTCATGAGTGGAGAGAAGTGAGATTCATTCACGATTGTTTACTGACCCGGTGAATTACTGTCAACGTACTAAACTCGTAGTTGGATGACAGCTGAACAAGCAACTAAAAAGTGAATATGCATATTTGCATGATGAAGCGTGACTCATTTCGCGGTTTTGTGTAGATTCTATTAAAGAGCCTTACAATCACATCTCTCACCGCACGTTCATTCGAATCAGTTGCGTTGACATATAATCAACATAAATCGTAGTGAATTAAACGGTTTGAGCACTCAAAAGATTGCTTTCAGAAGACACAGGGTTTTAGATAGATTTAAATAGAAATCATTGTAGGGAATTCGTTTTTCATGTCTGTACAACCGTATTTACGCATAAACAAAACATGTTGTAATGAATATTATTCTTTTGGGTTCCAAGCGGAACATGGAGCTTTAACACCATCTCCTTCTCGCACACTCATCTAGTCGTGCTACATTATGGTTCCACTCAAGAGATGACTTCATTGTGGCTCTGATCACTCCACACATTCTTCAAAATATTTCTCAGTTCATATGTTCCTGGTTGTTTCATTTCCAGAGTGGCCTGTTAATGATTTTCACCGGCCATTCCATATCCAAAATGCGGTGAAGGCAGATGTTGAAAATGCTTTTCGTGACATGCTAACCAGTTTTCTGTCCAATTCGGAAGAGTCACTGCTGTTGGACGTTCGAATCTCGCTCCTCAGTGTCACTGAGTCATATAGCTGCATCAGTTTTACAGTGATGAACACAAGTCTTGTCTTTGTGATCCTGTCTCGCTTTGACACGATCACACGTGCGCCTGTATTTGAAACAATGAAGCCAAAATAGGGTCAGAAGTGATTCCCTTCGAGTTTCTTCCCTCGATACTGATTGGTGCTCGTTGTTATTAGCTGGTGATCTCAATCACCTATGGCTACTATATCATCACTCGAAGACCTGATCTTTCTGCTATTTCTGCCGATTTGTTGGTTTGCTCTTGTGAGTGTTTGAATCCATGTGTTATCCGATAGGACTGGTCCATGAGGTACACATCTTCTACATTATCCTCATCGAATCAACGCAGTTCTGTATTCTCGCTGCCCACACAATATCTGATGTTATAATAATAAGTCAGCTTGGGCAAGATGGGTGGCTAACTCTGCAGCTGTCGTTGTGTAAAGAAAACTGGAACAAACACGACGAAATGGTTGATTCCTCTAGGCGGATTTTCAAAGATACTAGGCAAAGGATTCGGGTTATTTATTCTCTTTAGATTTGAAGACATTCGGTCCCCACTCTGTTTCTCAACTTCTTAAATGTTGTGGTATATTTCTGCCTCCGAACAGAATATGTGTTCAATATACGCTAAAATTTGGAGTAGTCAGTATCACAAATGGATGTTACAGTCGAGCTGTCTGTTTCCACTGCACAAGTTTAACTTTATTCTTTCGGAAATAGCCAGTTGAAAGTGAATAAACAATACGACTGAACTCACCAGCTGCTGTCATTTTACGTGGGACTGTAATATTAATGATAATAATATTGTTATTAGTGGTGATAATAATTTTACTGCATAGATAAGTTTGGATAATCTCAGATCCACGTGAAATCCAGGTTTTCGTGGAAAACAACATGGCACAGACTGGCAGTTGAATCACAAGCACATGTCAACCTCATTCAACAGCTGTATAATGATGCTGCATATCAATTGGTGTGCAATGGAGAAGTCGTTGATGAGGATATCGGAGAAGAGGATGAAAAGGAGGTGCGTTGCTGAAGTCCTATCTTCCACATGGGACCTGAAGCAATAACGATGAATCACAGTATATTCGATGGGTGATGAAGAGAGACCTACCGACTGTTGTTTACCTAGCAGCAGTAATAACAGACTGTTAGTCGAGATTCCTGATACACACTGTGCTATCAAGCTATGCCATGCAAGTGACAGTAATATGACAAAATTAAACTGGTATTAACTGACAAATAATGTGTGCTGAATACAGGGAATTTAACCTCTGATTCATCGGAAAATTCAAGCATACGCCTGTACACTGCTCAGATGGTCTACGACACCGGGACTACCAACCACTTCATCATTGCAATAAGTCTTTGAGGTGAAGATATGAGTAAGACAAAGCTGTCTTCCTGCCATCACTGATGATATTCCACTATGTGATGGACTGTATCATGCTGGAGAGTGTGGGAAGCCAGAAGACAGGAACACACTGGATCGAAAGGAAGATTGAAGATGATCTGGACTTCGCGGACAATATACAAACAGTTATTTTTGTGGCCTAGGATTAGAATCGTTTCATAACTTTCATGTATTCCTATATTGATTTTGCATAGTTATGCAAGAACTCAAAATTACTTATGACTTTCCTCATCAGAACATAGATGACTTCTTTTATAAAACTGTATTTGTTAAAGAATGTATCACTACGACACGCCGTTATCGGAGTTTATCAAAACGGCAGTTAAAAGACATAAGCTGACCTCTGTGGTTTTTGTCTGCTGCAACAGAATCATCAAGAGGTATTTCATCTTCCTTCCGTTCTATGAAACACAAAACAGTAAGAGTTTGAGGTACATGAGGATTAAATATAGGCGTCTCTCTCTAAATCCACCGACTGTGAGAGTAATGTGTCATTCAATGTTTGGGCATGTAATTGTATTTCTCGAATAATTCATGGCATGAATTGATCTCGCTCAACTTGAGCAACAAGATGAACAGTTTTTTTGAGTGAAATCTCTTGAAGGATGTGCGTGATTTCTTCTATCAACACATCATGTGATAACGTCTATTCATCTTGGTAGCTTCCTTCCATAGCCTAATGTAACGTATTCCTAACACCACTCAATGCATTTCCAACTGGCCACTGCACACCTCAATCAGCAACTCACCCTTCAGTCAACAATGAATATCACATAGCCATCCGAGAATCGCAGGCCATGTCATGGAACTGGATAATTGATAACAGTGAACTAGACAACAACTTACCCTCTCATAGGTGTGTAGGAGCAGATGGAGATGAGTGGAATCCTGCTGACTTCTTTATGATATCATAGTCCAACCTCTACAACTGAACCTCAATCAGGGGTTAATACGGACATTTGTATATCAAATACATCTCGTGTTTCACCTACAATCATATACCATTCTTCCCAGAGATCATTCAATAACACAAGAATAAAAAAACCTGTATTTAACATGTGTAAAGTTAATTTTAATACACTATAGAGAGTTTAACTGCATTATATTTAAAACCAGGTTTAGATGTGTGGAAAATGAATTGTGATCATTCAGGCATCATTAGGTGCTATTACCTCGCGTCCTTAAAAATTGTTCTAGCAATGGTAATATGTTATCAGGTACCAAGGGATACGTTTTAGTAATCCCCGGCTGAATGAAAAGATTGCAGCTAAAAATTAGCACGGCAGGTGAGAAAATCTGTGAAGCATCAGTGATTTAAACATTCCCGTTATATCAAATCAAAGTTCAGGAAGGCCATAAGAAAAAGTAGGCGGAAACATAAAACAAAATGGAAATGACAAGCTCGGGAAAAAAATACAAATTAAAAATAAAAGTAACAAAAACATAAAAGAAACATATTAAAAATTACGAAAAAAAAAAGAAACGACGAAAAAAACCAGAGTTTCAAAAAATGAAATAACAACGGCAAAATACAAAAACACATAGAAGAAATTAAAATATCGACTTCAAATACGAAGTTCAAAAATGAGAGAAAAGAGAGAAATTGGTCATCTCAATGTTATCTACACAAGGAGAGCTAGAGAGAAGGCGAGATAGAGAGAGACATAGAGAGAAATTAGTCATGTCATATGAAGACAACTCTCACTACGCGTCTTCAATCCTTCAGCTGAGATGTCTGTGGTTGTGTGCGTGTGTGTGTTTCTATGTGATTGATTCACAACAATCAGAATGAACAGGTCACTTCGCTTACTGGCGAACTGGTCCTCACCAGTTGACACTTACCAGGTATGAAATCACTCGACTTGTCATTGTTATCTGTACAACGAGAGACAGAGAATGAGAGATAGGGAGACAGATAGAGAGAAATTAGTCATGTCATATGAAGACAACTCTCACTACGCGTCTTCAATCCTTCAGCTGAGATGTCTGTGGTTGTGTGCGTGTGTGTGTTTCTATGTGATTGATTCACAACAATCAGAATGAACAGGTCACTTCGCTTACTGGCGAACTGGTCCTCACCAGTTGACACTTACCAGGTATGGAATCACTCGACTTGTCATTGTTATCTGTACAACGAGAGACAGAGAGTGAGAGATAGAGAGAGACATAGAGAGAAATTAGTCATGTCATATGAAGACAACTCTCACTACGCGTCTTCAATCCTTCAGCTGAGATGTCTGTGGTTGTGTGCGTGTGTGGGTTTCTATGTGATTGATTCACAACAATCAGAATGAACAGGTCACTTCGCTTTCTGGCGAACTGGTCCTCACCAGCTGACACTTACCAGGTATGGAATCACTCGACTTGTCATTGTTATCTGTACAACGAGAGACAGAGAATGAGAGATAGTGAGATAGATAGAGAGAAATTAGTCATGTCATATGAAGACAACTCTCACTACGCGTCTTCAATCCTTCAGCTGAGATGTCTGTGGTTGTGTGCGTGTGTGTGTTTCTATGTGATTGATTCACAACAATCAGAATGAACAGGTCACTTCGCTTTCTGGCGAACTGGTCCTCACCAGCTGACACTTACCAGTTATGGAATCACTCGACTTGTCATTGTTATCTGTACAACGAGAGACAGAGAGTGAGAGATAGAGAGAGACATAGAGAGAAATTAGTCATGTCATATGAAGACAACTCTCACTACGCGTCTTCAATCCTTCAGCTGAGATGTCTGTGGTTGTGTGCGTGTGTGTGTTTCTATGTGATTGATTCACAACAATCAGAATGAACAGGTCACTTCGCTTTCTGGCGAACTGGTCCTCACCAGCTGACACTTACCAGTTATGGAATCACTCGACTTGTCATTGTTATCTGTACAACGAGAGACAGAGAGTGAGAGATAGAGAGAGACATAGAGAGAAATTAGTCATGTCATATGAAGACAACTCTCACTACGCGTCTTCAATCCTTCAGCTGAGATGTCTGTGGTTGTGTGCGTGTGTGTGTTTCTATGTGATTGATTCACAACAATCAGAATGAACAGGTCACTTCGCTTTCTGGCGAACTGGTCCTCACCAGCTGACACTTACCAGGTATGGAATCACTCGACTTGTCATTGTTATCTGTACAACGAGAGACAGAGAGTGAGAGATAGAGAGAGACATAGAGAGAAATTAGTCATGTCATATGAAGACAACTCTCACTACGCGTCTTCAATCCTTCAGCTGAGATGTCTGTGGTTGTGTGCGTGTGTGTGTTTCTATGTGATTGATTCACAACAATCAGAATGAACAGGTCACTTCGCTTTCTGGCGAACTGGTCCTCACCAGCTGACACTTACCAGTTATGGAATCACTCGACTTGTCATTGTTATCTGTACAACGAGAGACAGAGAATGAGAGATAGAGAGATAGATAGAGAGAAATTAGTCATGTCATATGAAGACAACTCTCACTACGCGTCTTCAATCCTTCAGCTGAGATGTCTGTGGTTGTGTGCGTGTGTGTGTTTCTATGTGATTGATTCACAACAATCAGAATGAACAGGTCACTTCGCTTTCTGGCGAACTGGTCCTCACCAGCTGACACTTACCAGTTATGGAATCACTCGACTTGTCATTGTTATCTGTACAACGAGAGACAGAGAGTGAGAGATAGAGAGAGACATAGAGAGAAATTAGTCATGTCATATGAAGACAACTCTCACTACGCGTCTTCAATCCTTCAGCTGAGATGTCTGTGGTTGTGTGCGTGTGTGTGTTTCTATGTGATTGATTCACAACAATCAGAATGAACAGGTCACTTCGCTTTCTGGCGAACTGGTCCTCACCAGCTGACACTTACCAGGTATGGAATCACTCGACTTGTCATTGTTATCTGTACAACGAGAGACAGAGAATGAGAGATAGGGAGATAGATAGAGAGAAATTAGTCATGTCATATGAAGACAACTCTCACTACGCGTCTTCAATCCTTCAGCTGAGATGTCTGTGGTTGTGTGCGTGTGTGTGTTTCTATGTGATTGATTCACAACAATCAGAATGAACAGGTCACTTCGCTTTCTGGCGAACTGGTCCTCACCAGCTGACACTTACCAGTTATGGAATCACTCGACTTGTCATTGTTATCTGTACAACGAGAGACAGAGAATGAGAGATAGGGAGATAGATAGAGAGAAATTAGTCATGTCATATGAAGACAACTCTCACTACGCGTCTTCAATCCTTCAGCTGAGATGTCTGTGGTTGTGTGCGTGTGTGTGTTTCTATGTGATTGATTCACAACAATCAGAATGAACAGGTCACTTCGCTTTCTGGCGAACTGGTCCTCACCAGCTGACACTTACCAGTTATGGAATCACTCGACTTGTCATTGTTATCTGTACAACGAGAGACAGAGAGTGAGAGATAGAGAGAGACATAGAGAGAAATTAGTCATGTCATATGAAGACAACTCTCACTACGCGTCTTCAATCCTTCAGCTGAGATGTCTGTGGTTGTGTGCGTGTGTGTGTTTCTATGTGATTGATTCACAACAATCAGAATGAACAGGTCACTTCGCTTTCTGGCGAACTGGTCCTCACCAGCTGACACTTACCAGGTATGGAATCACTCGACTTGTCATTGTTATCTGTACAACGAGAGACAGAGAGTGAGAGATAGAGAGAGACATAGAGAGAAATTAGTCATGTCATATGAAGACAACTCTCACTACGCGTCTTCAATCCTTCAGCTGAGATGTCTGTGGTTGTGTGCGTGTGTGTGTTTCTATGTGATTGATTCACAACAATCAGAATGAACAGGTCACTTCGCTTTCTGGCGAACTGGTCCTCACCAGCTGACACTTACCAGTTATGGAATCACTCGACTTGTCATTGTTATCTGTACAACGAGAGACAGAGAGTGAGAGATAGAGAGAGACATAGAGAGAAATTAGTCATGTCATATGAAGACAACTCTCACTACGCGTCTTCAATCCTTCAGCTGAGATGTCTGTGGTTGTGTGCGTGTGTGTGTTTCTATGTGATTGATTCACAACAATCAGAATGAACAGGTCACTTCGCTTACTGGCGAACTGGTCCTCACCAGTTGACACTTACCAGGTATGGAATCACTCGACTTGTCATTGTTATCTGTACAACGAGAGACAGAGAGTGAGAGATAGAGAGAGACATAGAGAGAAATTAGTCATGTCATATGAAGACAACTCTCACTACGCGTCTTCAATCCTTCAGCTGAGATGTCTGTGGTTGTGTGCGTGTGTGTGTTTCTATGTGATTGATTCACAACAATCAGAATGAACAGGTCACTTCGCTTTCTGGCGAACTGGTCCTCACCAGCTGACACTTACCAGGTATGGAATCACTCGACTTGTCATTGTTATCTGTACAACGAGAGACAGAGAGTGAGAGATAGAGAGAGACATAGAGAGAAATTAGTCATGTCATATGAAGACAACTCTCACTACGCGTCTTCAATCCTTCAGCTGAGATGTCTGTGGTTGTGTGCGTGTGTGTGTTTCTATGTGATTGATTCACAACAATCAGAATGAACAGGTCACTTCGCTTACTGGCGAACTGGTCCTCACCAGTTGACACTTACCAGGTATGGAATCACTCGACTTGTCATTGTTATCTGTACAACGAGAGACAGAGAGTGAGAGATAGAGAGAGACATAGAGAGAAATTAGTCATGTCATATGAAGACAACTCTCACTACGCGTCTTCAATCCTTCAGCTGAGATGTCTGTGGTTGTGTGCGTGTGTGTGTTTCTATGTGATTGATTCACAACAATCAGAATGAACAGGTCACTTCGCTTACTGGCGAACTGGTCCTCACCAGTTGACACTTACCAGGTATGGAATCACTCGACTTGTCATTGTTATCTGTACAACGAGAGACAGAGAGTGAGAGATAGAGAGAGACATAGAGAGAAATTAGTCATGTCATATGAAGACAACTCTCACTACGCGTCTTCAATCCTTCAGCTGAGATGTCTGTGGTTGTGTGCGTGTGTGTGTTTCTATGTGATTGATTCACAACAATCAGAATGAACAGGTCACTTCGCTTACTGGCGAACTGGTCCTCACCAGTTGACACTTACCAGGTATGGAATCACTCGACTTGTCATTGTTATCTGTACAACGAGAGACAGAGAGTGAGAGATAGAGAGAGACATAGAGAGAAATTAGTCATGTCATATGAAGACAACTCTCACTACGCGTCTTCAATCCTTCAGCTGAGATGTCTGTGGTTGTGTGCGTGTGTGTGTTTCTATGTGATTGATTCACAACAATCAGAATGAACAGGTCACTTCGCTTTCTGGCGAACTGGTCCTCACCAGCTGACACTTACCAGGTATGGAATCACTCGACTTGTCATTGTTATCTGTACAACGAGAGACAGAGAGTGAGAGATAGAGAGAGACATAGAGAGAAATTAGTCATGTCATATGAAGACAACTCTCACTACGCGTCTTCAATCCTTCAGCTGAGATGTCTGTGGTTGTGTGCGTGTGTGTGTTTCTATGTGATTGATTCACAACAATCAGAATGAACAGGTCACTTCGCTTACTGGCGAACTGGTCCTCACCAGCTGACACTTACCAGGTATGGAATCACTCGACTTGTCATTGTTATCTGTACAACGAGAGACAGAGAGTGAGAGATAGAGAGAGACATAGAGAGAAATTAGTCATGTCATATGAAGACAACTCTCACTACGCGTCTTCAATCCTTCAGCTGAGATGTCTGTGGTTGTGTGCGTGTGTGTGTTTCTATGTGATTGATTCACAACAATCAGAATGAACAGGTCACTTCGCTTTCTGGCGAACTGGTCCTCACCAGCTGACACTTACCAGGTATGGAATCACTCGACTTGTCATTGTTATCTGTACAACGAGAGACAGAGAGTGAGAGATAGAGAGAGACATAGAGAGAAATTAGTCATGTCATATGAAGACAACTCTCACTACGCGTCTTCAATCCTTCAGCTGAGATGTCTGTGGTTGTGTGCGTGTGTGTGTTTCTATGTGATTGATTCACAACAATCAGAATGAACAGGTCACTTCGCTTTCTGGCGAACTGGTCCTCACCAGCTGACACTTACCAGGTATGGAATCACTCGACTTGTCATTGTTATCTGTACAACGAGAGACAGAGAGTGAGAGATAGAGAGAGACATAGAGAGAAATTAGTCATGTCATATGAAGACAACTCTCACTACGCGTCTTCAATCCTTCAGCTGAGATGTCTGTGGTTGTGTGCGTGTGTGTGTTTCTATGTGATTGATTCACAACAATCAGAATGAACAGGTCACTTCGCTTACTGGCGAACTGGTCCTCACCAGTTGACACTTACCAGGTATGGAATCACTCGACTTGTCATTGTTATCTGTACAACGAGAGACAGAGAGTGAGAGATAGAGAGAGACATAGAGAGAAATTAGTCATGTCATATGAAGACAACTCTCACTACGCGTCTTCAATCCTTCAGCTGAGATGTCTGTGGTTGTGTGCGTGTGTGTGTTTCTATGTGATTGATTCACAACAATCAGAATGAACAGGTCACTTCGCTTACTGGCGAACTGGTCCTCACCAGCTGACACTTACCAGGTATGGAATCACTCGACTTGTCATTGTTATCTGTACAACGAGAGACAGAGAGTGAGAGATAGAGAGAGACATAGAGAGAAATTAGTCATGTCATATGAAGACAACTCTCACTACGCGTCTTCAATCCTTCAGCTGAGATGTCTGTGGTTGTGTGCGTGTGTGTGTTTCTATGTGATTGATTCACAACAATCAGAATGAACAGGTCACTTCGCTTTCTGGCGAACTGGTCCTCACCAGTTGACACTTACCAGGTATGGAATCACTCGACTTGTCATTGTTATCTGTACAACGAGAGACAGAGAGTGAGAGATAGAGAGAGACATAGAGAGAAATTAGTCATGTCATATGAAGACAACTCTCACTACGCGTCTTCAATCCTTCAGCTGAGATGTCTGTGGTTGTGTGCGTGTGTGTGTTTCTATGTGATTGATTCACAACAATCAGAATGAACAGGTCACTTCGCTTTCTGGCGAACTGGTCCTCACCAGCTGACACTTACCAGGTATGGAATCACTCGACTTGTCATTGTTATCTGTACAACGAGAGACAGAGAGTGAGAGATAGAGAGAGACATAGAGAGAAATTAGTCATGTCATATGAAGACAACTCTCACTACGCGTCTTCAATCCTTCAGCTGAGATGTCTGTGGTTGTGTGCGTGTGTGTGTTTCTATGTGATTGATTCACAACAATCAGAATGAACAGGTCACTTCGCTTACTGGCGAACTGGTCCTCACCAGCTGACACTTACCAGGTATGGAATCACTCGACTTGTCATTGTTATCTGTACAACGAGAGACAGAGAGTGAGAGATAGAGAGAGACATAGAGAGAAATTAGTCATGTCATATGAAGACAACTCTCACTACGCGTCTTCAATCCTTCAGCTGAGATGTCTGTGGTTGTGTGCGTGTGTGTGTTTCTATGTGATTGATTCACAACAATCAGAATGAACAGGTCACTTCGCTTTCTGGCGAACTGGTCCTCACCAGCTGACACTTACCAGGTATGGAATCACTCGACTTGTCATTGTTATCTGTACAACGAGAGACAGAGAGTGAGAGATAGAGAGAGACATAGAGAGAAATTAGTCATGTCATATGAAGACAACTCTCACTACGCGTCTTCAATCCTTCAGCTGAGATGTCTGTGGTTGTGTGCGTGTGTGTGTTTCTATGTGATTGATTCACAACAATCAGAATGAACAGGTCACTTCGCTTACTGGCGAACTGGTCCTCACCAGCTGACACTTACCAGGTATGGAATCACTCGACTTGTCATTGTTATCTGTACAACGAGAGACAGAGAGTGAGAGATAGAGAGAGACATAGAGAGAAATTAGTCATGTCATATGAAGACAACTCTCACTACGCGTCTTCAATCCTTCAGCTGAGATGTCTGTGGTTGTGTGCGTGTGTGTGTTTCTATGTGATTGATTCACAACAATCAGAATGAACAGGTCACTTCGCTTACTGGCGAACTGGTCCTCACCAGTTGACACTTACCAGGTATGGAATCACTCGACTTGTCATTGTTATCTGTACAACGAGAGACAGAGAGTGAGAGATAGAGAGAGACATAGAGAGAAATTAGTCATGTCATATGAAGACAACTCTCACTACGCGTCTTCAATCCTTCAGCTGAGATGTCTGTGGTTGTGTGCGTGTGTGTGTTTCTATGTGATTGATTCACAACAATCAGAATGAACAGGTCACTTCGCTTACTGGCGAACTGGTCCTCACCAGTTGACACTTACCAGGTATGGAATCACTCGACTTGTCATTGTTATCTGTACAACGAGAGACAGAGAGTGAGAGATAGAGAGAGACATAGAGAGAAATTAGTCATGTCATATGAAGACAACTCTCACTACGCGTCTTCAATCCTTCAGCTGAGATGTCTGTGGTTGTGTGCGTGTGTGTGTTTCTATGTGATTGATTCACAACAATCAGAATGAACAGGTCACTTCGCTTACTGGCGAACTGGTCCTCACCAGCTGACACTTACCAGGTATGGAATCACTCGACTTGTCATTGTTATCTGTACAACGAGAGACAGAGAGTGAGAGATAGAGAGAGACATAGAGAGAAATTAGTCATGTCATATGAAGACAACTCTCACTACGCGTCTTCAATCCTTCAGCTGAGATGTCTGTGGTTGTGTGCGTGTGTGTGTTTCTATGTGATTGATTCACAACAATCAGAATGAACAGGTCACTTCGCTTTCTGGCGAACTGGTCCTCACCAGCTGACACTTACCAGGTATGGAATCACTCGACTTGTCATTGTTATCTGTACAACGAGAGACAGAGAGTGAGAGATAGAGAGAGACATAGAGAGAAATTAGTCATGTCATATGAAGACAACTCTCACTACGCGTCTTCAATCCTTCAGCTGAGATGTCTGTGGTTGTGTGCGTGTGTGTGTTTCTATGTGATTGATTCACAACAATCAGAATGAACAGGTCACTTCGCTTACTGGCGAACTGGTCCTCACCAGCTGACACTTACCAGGTATGGAATCACTCGACTTGTCATTGTTATCTGTACAACGAGAGACAGAGAGTGAGAGATAGAGAGAGACATAGAGAGAAATTAGTCATGTCATATGAAGACAACTCTCACTACGCGTCTTCAATCCTTCAGCTGAGATGTCTGTGGTTGTGTGCGTGTGTGTGTTTCTATGTGATTGATTCACAACAATCAGAATGAACAGGTCACTTCGCTTACTGGCGAACTGGTCCTCACCAGCTGACACTTACCAGGTATGGAATCACTCGACTTGTCATTGTTATCTGTACAACGAGAGACAGAGAGTGAGAGATAGAGAGAGACATAGAGAGAAATTAGTCATGTCATATGAAGACAACTCTCACTACGCGTCTTCAATCCTTCAGCTGAGATGTCTGTGGTTGTGTGCGTGTGTGTGTTTCTATGTGATTGATTCACAACAATCAGAATGAACAGGTCACTTCGCTTTCTGGCGAACTGGTCCTCACCAGCTGACACTTACCAGGTATGGAATCACTCGACTTGTCATTGTTATCTGTACAACGAGAGACAGAGAGTGAGAGATAGAGAGAGACATAGAGAGAAATTAGTCATGTCATATGAAGACAACTCTCACTACGCGTCTTCAATCCTTCAGCTGAGATGTCTGTGGTTGTGTGCGTGTGTGTGTTTCTATGTGATTGATTCACAACAATCAGAATGAACAGGTCACTTCGCTTACTGGCGAACTGGTCCTCACCAGCTGACACTTACCAGGTATGGAATCACTCGACTTGTCATTGTTATCTGTACAACGAGAGACAGAGAGTGAGAGATAGAGAGAGACATAGAGAGAAATTAGTCATGTCATATGAAGACAACTCTCACTACGCGTCTTCAATCCTTCAGCTGAGATGTCTGTGGTTGTGTGCGTGTGTGTGTTTCTATGTGATTGATTCACAACAATCAGAATGAACAGGTCACTTCGCTTTCTGGCGAACTGGTCCTCACCAGCTGACACTTACCAGGTATGGAATCACTCGACTTGTCATTGTTATCTGTACAACGAGAGACAGAGAGTGAGAGATAGAGAGAGACATAGAGAGAAATTAGTCATGTCATATGAAGACAACTCTCACTACGCGTCTTCAATCCTTCAGCTGAGATGTCTGTGGTTGTGTGCGTGTGTGTGTTTCTATGTGATTGATTCACAACAATCAGAATGAACAGGTCACTTCGCTTACTGGCGAACTGGTCCTCACCAGCTGACACTTACCAGGTATGGAATCACTCGACTTGTCATTGTTATCTGTACAACGAGAGACAGAGAGTGAGAGATAGAGAGAGACATAGAGAGAAATTAGTCATGTCATATGAAGACAACTCTCACTACGCGTCTTCAATCCTTCAGCTGAGATGTCTGTGGTTGTGTGCGTGTGTGTGTTTCTATGTGATTGATTCACAACAATCAGAATGAACAGGTCACTTCGCTTACTGGCGAACTGGTCCTCACCAGTTGACACTTACCAGGTATGGAATCACTCGACTTGTCATTGTTATCTGTACAACGAGAGACAGAGAGTGAGAGATAGAGAGAGACATAGAGAGAAATTAGTCATGTCATATGAAGACAACTCTCACTACGCGTCTTCAATCCTTCAGCTGAGATGTCTGTGGTTGTGTGCGTGTGTGTGTTTCTATGTGATTGATTCACAACAATCAGAATGAACAGGTCACTTCGCTTACTGGCGAACTGGTCCTCACCAGCTGACACTTACCAGGTATGGAATCACTCGACTTGTCATTGTTATCTGTACAACGAGAGACAGAGAGTGAGAGATAGAGAGAGACATAGAGAGAAATTAGTCATGTCATATGAAGACAACTCTCACTACGCGTCTTCAATCCTTCAGCTGAGATGTCTGTGGTTGTGTGCGTGTGTGTGTTTCTATGTGATTGATTCACAACAATCAGAATGAACAGGTCACTTCGCTTACTGGCGAACTGGTCCTCACCAGTTGACACTTACCAGGTATGGAATCACTCGACTTGTCATTGTTATCTGTACAACGAGAGACAGAGAGTGAGAGATAGAGAGAGACATAGAGAGAAATTAGTCATGTCATATGAAGACAACTCTCACTACGCGTCTTCAATCCTTCAGCTGAGATGTCTGTGGTTGTGTGCGTGTGTGTGTTTCTATGTGATTGATTCACAACAATCAGAATGAACAGGTCACTTCGCTTACTGGCGAACTGGTCCTCACCAGCTGACACTTACCAGGTATGGAATCACTCGACTTGTCATTGTTATCTGTACAACGAGAGACAGAGAGTGAGAGATAGAGAGAGACATAGAGAGAAATTAGTCATGTCATATGAAGACAACTCTCACTACGCGTCTTCAATCCTTCAGCTGAGATGTCTGTGGTTGTGTGCGTGTGTGTGTTTCTATGTGATTGATTCACAACAATCAGAATGAACAGGTCACTTCGCTTACTGGCGAACTGGTCCTCACCAGTTGACACTTACCAGGTATGGAATCACTCGACTTGTCATTGTTATCTGTACAACGAGAGACAGAGAGTGAGAGATAGAGAGAGACATAGAGAGAAATTAGTCATGTCATATGAAGACAACTCTCACTACGCGTCTTCAATCCTTCAGCTGAGATGTCTGTGGTTGTGTGCGTGTGTGTGTTTCTATGTGATTGATTCACAACAATCAGAATGAACAGGTCACTTCGCTTACTGGCGAACTGGTCCTCACCAGCTGACACTTACCAGGTATGGAATCACTCGACTTGTCATTGTTATCTGTACAACGAGAGACAGAGAGTGAGAGATAGAGAGAGACATAGAGAGAAATTAGTCATGTCATATGAAGACAACTCTCACTACGCGTCTTCAATCCTTCAGCTGAGATGTCTGTGGTTGTGTGCGTGTGTGTGTTTCTATGTGATTGATTCACAACAATCAGAATGAACAGGTCACTTCGCTTACTGGCGAACTGGTCCTCACCAGTTGACACTTACCAGGTATGGAATCACTCGACTTGTCATTGTTATCTGTACAACGAGAGACAGAGAGTGAGAGATAGAGAGAGACATAGAGAGAAATTAGTCATGTCATATGAAGACAACTCTCACTACGCGTCTTCAATCCTTCAGCTGAGATGTCTGTGGTTGTGTGCGTGTGTGTGTTTCTATGTGATTGATTCACAACAATCAGAATGAACAGGTCACTTCGCTTACTGGCGAACTGGTCCTCACCAGCTGACACTTACCAGGTATGGAATCACTCGACTTGTCATTGTTATCTGTACAACGAGAGACAGAGAGTGAGAGATAGAGAGAGACATAGAGAGAAATTAGTCATGTCATATGAAGACAACTCTCACTACGCGTCTTCAATCCTTCAGCTGAGATGTCTGTGGTTGTGTGCGTGTGTGTGTTTCTATGTGACTGATTCACAACAATCAGAATGAACAGGTCACTTCGCTTACTGGCGAACTGGTCCTCACCAGTTGACACTTACCAGGTATGGAATCACTCGACTTGTCATTGTTATCTGTACAACGAGAGACAGAGAGTGAGAGATAGAGAGAGACATAGAGAGAAATTAGTCATGTCATATGAAGACAACTCTCACTACGCGTCTTCAATCCTTCAGCTGAGATGTCTGTGGTTGTGTGCGTGTGTGTGTTTCTATGTGATTGATTCACAACAATCAGAATGAACAGGTCACTTCGCTTACTGGCGAACTGGTCCTCACCAGCTGACACTTACCAGGTATGGAATCACTCGACTTGTCATTGTTATCTGTACAACGAGAGACAGAGAGTGAGAGATAGAGAGAGACATAGAGAGAAATTAGTCATGTCATATGAAGACAACTCTCACTACGCGTCTTCAATCCTTCAGCTGAGATGTCTGTGGTTGTGTGCGTGTGTGTGTTTCTATGTGATTGATTCACAACAATCAGAATGAACAGGTCACTTCGCTTACTGGCGAACTGGTCCTCACCAGTTGACACTTACCAGGTATGGAATCACTCGACTTGTCATTGTTATCTGTACAACGAGAGACAGAGAGTGAGAGATAGAGAGAGACATAGAGAGAAATTAGTCATGTCATATGAAGACAACTCTCACTACGCGTCTTCAATCCTTCAGCTGAGATGTCTGTGGTTGTGTGCGTGTGTGTGTTTCTATGTGATTGATTCACAACAATCAGAATGAACAGGTCACTTCGCTTACTGGCGAACTGGTCCTCACCAGCTGACACTTACCAGGTATGGAATCACTCGACTTGTCATTGTTATCTGTACAACGAGAGACAGAGAGTGAGAGATAGAGAGAGACATAGAGAGAAATTAGTCATGTCATATGAAGACAACTCTCACTACGCGTCTTCAATCCTTCAGCTGAGATGTCTGTGGTTGTGTGCGTGTGTGTGTTTCTATGTGATTGATTCACAACAATCAGAATGAACAGGTCACTTCGCTTACTGGCGAACTGGTCCTCACCAGCTGACACTTACCAGGTATGGAATCACTCGACTTGTCATTGTTATCTGTACAACGAGAGACAGAGAGTGAGAGATAGAGAGAGACATAGAGAGAAATTAGTCATGTCATATGAAGACAACTCTCACTACGCGTCTTCAATCCTTCAGCTGAGATGTCTGTGGTTGTGTGCGTGTGTGTGTTTCTATGTGATTGATTCACAACAATCAGAATGAACAGGTCACTTCGCTTACTGGCGAACTGGTCCTCACCAGCTGACACTTACCAGGTATGGAATCACTCGACTTGTCATTGTTATCTGTACAACGAGAGACAGAGAGTGAGAGATAGAGAGAGACATAGAGAGAAATTAGTCATGTCATATGAAGACAACTCTCACTACGCGTCTTCAATCCTTCAGCTGAGATGTCTGTGGTTGTGTGCGTGTGTGTGTTTCTATGTGATTGATTCACAACAATCAGAATGAACAGGTCACTTCGCTTACTGGCGAACTGGTCCTCACCAGCTGACACTTACCAGGTATGGAATCACTCGACTTGTCATTGTTATCTGTACAACGAGAGACAGAGAGTGAGAGATAGAGAGAGACATAGAGAGAAATTAGTCATGTCATATGAAGACAACTCTCACTACGCGTCTTCAATCCTTCAGCTGAGATGTCTGTGGTTGTGTGCGTGTGTGTGTTTCTATGTGATTGATTCACAACAATCAGAATGAACAGGTCACTTCGCTTACTGGCGAACTGGTCCTCACCAGCTGACACTTACCAGGTATGGAATCACTCGACTTGTCATTGTTATCTGTACAACGAGAGACAGAGAGTGAGAGATAGAGAGAGACATAGAGAGAAATTAGTCATGTCATATGAAGACAACTCTCACTACGCGTCTTCAATCCTTCAGCTGAGATGTCTGTGGTTGTGTGCGTGTGTGTGTTTCTATGTGATTGATTCACAACAATCAGAATGAACAGGTCACTTCGCTTACTGGCGAACTGGTCCTCACCAGTTGACACTTACCAGGTATGGAATCACTCGACTTGTCATTGTTATCTGTACAACGAGAGACAGAGAGTGAGAGATAGAGAGAGACATAGAGAGAAATTAGTCATGTCATATGAAGACAACTCTCACTACGCGTCTTCAATCCTTCAGCTGAGATGTCTGTGGTTGTGTGCGTGTGTGTGTTTCTATGTGACTGATTCACAACAATCAGAATGAACAGGTCACTTCGCTTACTGGCGAACTGGTCCTCACCAGCTGACACTTACCAGGTATGGAATCACTCGACTTGTCATTGTTATCTGCACAACGAGAGACAGAGAGTGAGAGATAGAGAGAGACATAGAGAGAAATTAGTCATGTCATATGAAGACAACTCTCACTACGCGTCTTCAATCCTTCAGCTGAGATGTCTGTGGTTGTGTGCGTGTGTGTGTTTCTATGTGATTGATTCACAACAATCAGAATGAACAGGTCACTTCGCTTACTGGCGAACTGGTCCTCACCAGCTGACACTTACCAGGTATGGAATCACTCGACTTGTCATTGTTATCTGTACAACGAGAGACAGAGAGTGAGAGATAGAGAGAGACATAGAGAGAAATTAGTCATGTCATATGAAGACAACTCTCACTACGCGTCTTCAATCCTTCAGCTGAGATGTCTGTGGTTGTGTGCGTGTGTGTGTTTCTATGTGATTGATTCACAACAATCAGAATGAACAGGTCACTTCGCTTACTGGCGAACTGGTCCTCACCAGCTGACACTTACCAGGTATGGAATCACTCGACTTGTCATTGTTATCTGTACAACGAGAGACAGAGAGTGAGAGATAGAGAGAGACATAGAGAGAAATTAGTCATGTCATATGAAGACAACTCTCACTACGCGTCTTCAATCCTTCAGCTGAGATGTCTGTGGTTGTGTGCGTGTGTGTGTTTCTATGTGATTGATTCACAACAATCAGAATGAACAGGTCACTTCGCTTACTGGCGAACTGGTCCTCACCAGCTGACACTTACCAGGTATGGAATCACTCGACTTGTCATTGTTATCTGCACAACGAGAGACAGAGAGTGAGAGATAGAGAGAGACATAGAGAGAAATTAGTCATGTCATATGAAGACAACTCTCACTACGCGTCTTCAATCCTTCAGCTGAGATGTCTGTGGTTGTGTGCGTGTGTGTGTTTCTATGTGATTGATTCACAACAATCAGAATGAACAGGTCACTTCGCTTACTGGCGAACTGGTCCTCACCAGCTGACACTTACCAGGTATGGAATCACTCGACTTGTCATTGTTATCTGTACAACGAGAGACAGAGAGTGAGAGATAGAGAGAGACATAGAGAGAAATTAGTCATGTCATATGAAGACAACTCTCACTACGCGTCTTCAATCCTTCAGCTGAGATGTCTGTGGTTGTGTGCGTGTGTGTGTTTCTATGTGACTGATTCACAACAATCAGAATGAACAGGTCACTTCGCTTACTGGCGAACTGGTCCTCACCAGTTGACACTTACCAGGTATGGAATCACTCGACTTGTCATTGTTATCTGTACAACGAGAGACAGAGAGTGAGAGATAGAGAGAGACATAGAGAGAAATTAGTCATGTCATATGAAGACAACTCTCACTACGCGTCTTCAATCCTTCAGCTGAGATGTCTGTGGTTGTGTGCGTGTGTGTGTTTCTATGTGATTGATTCACAACAATCAGAATGAACAGGTCACTTCGCTTACTGGCGAACTGGGCCTCACCAGTTGACACTTACCAGGTATGGAATCACTCGACTTGTCATTGTTATCTGTACAACGAGAGACAGAGAGTGAGAGATAGAGAGAGACATAGAGAGAAATTAGTCATGTCATATGAAGACAACTCTCACTGCGCGTCTTCAATCCTTCAGCTGAGATGTCTGTGGTTGTGTGCGTGTGTGTGTTTCTATGTGATTGATTCACAACAATCAGAATGAACAGGTCACTTCGCTTACTGGCGAACTGGTCCTCACCAGTTGACACTTACCAGGTATGGAATCACTCGACTTGTCATTGTTATCTGTACAACGAGAGACAGAGAGTGAGAGATAGAGAGAGACATAGAGAGAAATTAGTCATGTCATATGAAGACAACTCTCACTACGCGTCTTCAATCCTTCAGCTGAGATGTCTGTGGTTGTGTGCGTGTGTGTGTTTCTATGTGATTGATTCACAACAATCAGAATGAACAGGTCACTTCGCTTACTGGCGAACTGGTCCTCACCAGCTGACACTTACCAGGTATGGAATCACTCGACTTGTCATTGTTATCTGCACAACGAGAGACAGAGAGTGAGAGATAGAGAGAGACATAGAGAGAAATTAGTCATGTCATATGAAGACAACTCTCACTACGCGTCTTCAATCCTTCAGCTGAGATGTCTGTGGTTGTGTGCGTTTGTGGGTTTCTATGTGACTGATTCACAACAATCAGAATGAACAGGTCACTTCGCTTACTGGCGAACTGGTCCTCACCAGTTGACACTTACCAGGTATGGAATCACTCGACTTGTCATTGTTATCTGCACAACGAGAGACAGAGAGTGAGAGATAGAGAGAGACATAGAGAGAAATTAGTCATGTCATATGAAGACAACTCTCACTACGCGTCTTCAATCCTTCAGCTGAGATGTCTGTGGTTGTGTGCGTGTGTGGGTTTCTATGTGACTGATTCACAACAATCAGAATGAACAGGTCACTTCGCTTACTGGCGAACTGGTCCTCACCAGCTGACACTTACCAGGTATGGAATCACTCGACTTGTCATTGTTATCTGTACAACGAGAGACAGAGAGTGAGAGATAGAGAGAGACATAGAGAGAAATTAGTCATGTCATATGAAGACAACTCTCACTACGCGTCTTCAATCCTTCAGCTGAGATGTCTGTGGTTGTGTGCGTGTGTGTGTTTCTATGTGATTGATTCACAACAATCAGAATGAACAGGTCACTTCGCTTACTGGCGAACTGGTCCTCACCAGCTGACACTTACCAGGTATGGAATCACTCGACTTGTCATTGTTATCTGTACAACGAGAGACAGAGAGTGAGAGATAGAGAGAGACATAGAGAGAAATTAGTCATGTCATATGAAGACAACTCTCACTACGCGTCTTCAATCCTTCAGCTGAGATGTCTGTGGTTGTGTGCGTGTGTGTGTTTCTATGTGATTGATTCACAACAATCAGAATGAACAGGTCACTTCGCTTACTGGCGAACTGGGCCTCACCAGTTGACACTTACCAGGTATGGAATCACTCGACTTGTCATTGTTATCTGTACAACGAGAGACAGAGAGTGAGAGATAGAGAGAGACATAGAGAGAAATTAGTCATGTCATATGAAGACAACTCTCACTACGCGTCTTCAATCCTTCAGCTGAGATGTCTGTGGTTGTGTGCGTGTGTGTGTTTCTATGTGACTGATTCACAACAATCAGAATGAACAGGTCACTTCGCTTACTGGCGAACTGGTCCTCACCAGTTGACACTTACCAGGTATGGAATCACTCGACTTGTCATTGTTATCTGTACAACGAGAGACAGAGAGTGAGAGATAGAGAGAGACATAGAGAGAAATTAGTCATGTCATATGAAGACAACTCTCACTACGCGTCTTCAATCCTTCAGCTGAGATGTCTGTGGTTGTGTGCGTGTGTGTGTTTCTATGTGATTGATTCACAACAATCAGAATGAACAGGTCACTTCGCTTACTGGCGAACTGGTCCTCACCAGCTGACACTTACCAGGTATGGAATCACTCGACTTGTCACTGTTATCGGTACAACGTTTTATTTCCAAATATTTGTTCTTGTTTACCTCAGGCTTTCTTTCTCGATTTTTTGATGTTGTTATTAAAATCGATCCACCTACTATCTCTATCATTTTACTTCACTGGACTATTTTTCACCTGACCATGCCATTTTGTAACTAATCCGTGTATTCTTAAGATGCCTTTTTTGCATTCCATTGTATTTCTTTTTATCATAATCTTTGGTAAACACAAGGATATTTTAGTATGTCCTGGTCGGCCTGACCAAACCTTTTACAGATTGAATGTTTTCTGAGAATTATATCTATTGTTTTACTTTTATTTTACTTTCGACTATTGCGCGTACCGAAATATATGCGGTATTTTAATTAGAAGAAAAATGTAAACGAGGTCACTGATTGTCTGTTGAAACTGTGATAAAACAAAGTGAGAATTTCTGTAGTTAACCATGGCGTGCTTTTTATTATCAACTTGATAATCTACTGATTGAAAAGATTTTAAAACCAATGAACCGCCTATAATATTTACGGCTCTAGTTATCTACTGAGTATTTGATCGTGTAAACTGTCCGTTGTAGATCGATTGAAACGTGCATAACCTCAATACACTCAATATATAGACATTGGTTAGCGAAGCAGAAGTCCCACAACGTGGTGTTCTCTCTCCCATATTCTCTCAAGCCGTCTTCTATCTTTTTACATGACCTGACTTAGTCAGGAGAAATCAGTCCGCTGGTTATACTGATCATCAGACTATCCCATCGCCAGTCAGGTTGCAATCTGACCGTCATAAACTGAACAGTTTTTTGTTAGACATCAGCCTGTGGTCTAAGCTAAGTGGTCTTATTTCAGATCCCTTTAAATGATAGAATATCAACTTCACCTTCAAGCGTTAAGCTGATCCACACGGACTGGTTCCTTCACAAGGTGTTTGTTGCGTAACAGGCACTGAAGTAGAAACTAAGTCACTTATTGAATACCCTGGAATGGTTAAATCCTCTTTTCTTTATTACTCGTCCCACAATTTGTTGATTTCAAAGAGAATGTTGTGTGCAATCTTATCCTTCAGGGAGTTAGGACAAGTGTGAATCACTCAAGCTCTACTTTCACAAATTTTAACTCTTGCATATCACTTATATTTATTCACTGCTCACCCATAGTTTTTCCTGGGCTACTCAAAACGGAGTATGTCATGCTGTAGAGAGTATAGGAGTTTGTCGGTATTGCTAGTGGTGTGCCACTATATTGTAGCTGACAGATACCTCCGCCAGTGTTCGAAGTGGTCTTAATCTATACTGTCTGACTCTCAACACCCGTCATATTTACGAATCTCTGCGTCACGCATCTCATCATGTGAGACTAGAAGTCATTACAAAAGATTATCTGTGCATGTGACGAACTAGAAAGTTCGGACGATATGCTATCCGATCGGCATTCTATTTGGCAGAGATACTGTAATGCGTCAAGCGTGTAACATTCTATGTAACTGACAAACTTACTGACAATTTGATCCTCTTCTATTTGTTATCTAAGTTGATAGACACTGTTTCAACCATCTTGCCATCTCAGCTGGTAATATCACCATCGTCACCAGCATTAGTTCACACATTCTGTACATTTCTAAGTGTATTGTCATTGCTCATACCAAAATAAAAGCTAAGAAGGATTTTGGTTACTTTTACCCTGATGTCTATTATATTCTATTTTCGTATTTAGTGTTGTTTGAGTAAACTAGTTGCAACACTGTACCACATGCTGAGAATTCTACACTGTGTCAGAAGTACTGTTTTAGAATAAAGGAGATCACTGTGAATAATAATAACAAAAGTATCATCATGATTGGAGACTGTAAGGTTTCTCATTTTCACAGTTATTTGACAAAAAGTAGTCCCTGTCTACTCTTCAGTGTCCTCTGGTCAGAAATATTCAACTTTTTTAAATAATATCATTGCTGGAAGCATTAAATCGTCCAGCCATTCAGAAGTTACAATCTGCAGAGAACTGATGGTTTTTGAACCACCTACGTTATGTCAGGATATCTCTTCAGGTTACATGACGAATTGCCGAAAGTGACATTGACTGAGAGTGCCAATCCAATACTGTCAGAATCGACTGTCATCTAGAGGGACTTGTTTATTCAGCTCAGATACATCAATGACGCAGTTTCAGATTGAATGGCTTGAATGTATCAGCCAGCATGTTATCCGAGTTGTGTATTCAACAGAACAGAGTAGATGAAATCAATTGTTATGTGGATGTAACAAAGGCTTTGATGCATTCGCTATATATGTTAGTTGTGTTATCACGAAAAAACACCACTCTGACTGGACAGTAGGAAACCTGCGATTGTTTGTGACGACTGATGTTGCAGCTTAACCTTAACGTCTTCTGAAAGAATCATGTCATTGGCGTCAGTGATTTTTTGTTCCCATATGCTAATTTGACAGGAGATTTCACTGCTGACAACATATAGGTAGAATATCAAAGTTCATTATTCTCATTTGCTTGATCACATAGATGAGTAGTGGTCTTCATTGTGAGGAACGCAAATTCAGGCATTTGAATTTCAATAAACCAAAGGATGGAGATAATTAAATTAGGATATACTCATAGTTATGAGAGAAGAAGTGAATTACACTGTCACACTTACCCATTGTTTGTGTTTCAGTAACCTGAATGTACTCAGCTGAAATTACAGAAAAGAAATATTGACAGATTCCAACGCAGTTGCTAAACGTGATACCAGAAATCAAGTTAAAGTTTCAATTGATTTAACACAGCAGTAACGAGAAAAGTGAGAAAAAATAGGTGGTCAAATGAACAGAGAAAATCCAGTAACCAAACATGAAATTCACTGAAGAAGGATCATGCTCAAGCTTACTGTAGTCACCTATGCAGCAGTGGGACCTGATAGAATGACTCTAGAGATTTTAAAGCACCGCAGAGACAGTTTACTATTTGCATTCCTCCAAGTAATAGGCAGAGTCTGTGAATTTGAGATAGTCCCTTCGGGTTGGTGTAAGTCATTGATTATTCTGATATACAAAAATGGAGACAAGTCTTCCTGTGATAATCACAGGAGGAGTATCTTAACTTATATGGTATTTAAATTTCTAGGCTCCATAATCATGCGTAGACTAAGCTGTGCTCACGAAGATCAAACACGAGAGAATTAGACAGACAGATCAGGAAGAGGGTATATTGATTATATCTTTACTCTTCGATAGAATCTGGGATATAGGCCTACGCACCGGTGTTCAACAAACGTCATATTTCTTGACCTGAATGCGGCATTTGAGTGCTTTAACGAAGAGGTACCACGCGGATGTTTGACTGTGAAGCGAACTCCAAGAAAATACATCTTACTGATCTAGTCACTCTGCTCGAACTCATTCAGCGAAGTGAGGGCCTACGAGGAATGGTTATCTGAAGTGGTGACAACTAGTGGTGTTCCTCAGGAATGCCACGTTCCACCATTTCTGTTTAATTTCATCATATATGCACTGATGCACTTAACCCTAACTGACTTCAGCGACTCAGGGATTGACTTGTTACCACCAGAAAATAATCTCGTTGGATCGGAATATGCAGATGATAAAGTCGTCCTGTGCGAATTGATGACATTGCACAGTCTTCTGAACACTTTGAGCAGCAATCTTCAAATGTTTGACATGCGATTCTCTCTCATGTCAAATCTAATATGATGCGACAGGTCTGGCTTGCATCGGCTCCTGGCTTAAAGATAGAAAGCGGAGTGGTAGAGCGTATTGACCAATTCACCTTTTTGGGAATATGCATCAGCCAACGCCAACGAGTTGATCGTTGACGAAATCTTCACATGAAAACAGAAGGCTCGTTTGGCATCTGCTTCCTTTAAAATTGGTAGTGTTAGATGACATAGGATCAGGTGTAAAATAGCCAGTGGTGGTAAGACCAAAACATGGCTTTGTCAGTCATCAGTAGACATCTTGGTTAGGGTCCTTAGGATGATAAAAACCATTGGCTGGAGCCAATCAGTCCTCCTTTTTCCTTAACGTTCCCAGTGGAACATAGAGCTCCAAGCTAGTGGCTTGAAGTTTCTGTAGCAGTATTTAACTTTTACAGGATGGGGTTGCTAGCCACATGCCCAACCTTTCCTCTTTACCAGCATTATTTCTGGCTCAGTGAGGTAAAGGAGTGCGCCGGCCGGGGATCGAACCCCGGACCATATGCATGGTCGGCGAGCATGCTAACCGCTATACCACCGACGCACCTGGTGCCGGTGTGGTGAGAGCAGGCTGCTAGCCGATTGGTTGGCACTAATCTACGTTAAGGTCTAGGTCACTAATATGGGCCGTGAACAAGGCTGAGTCAACAACCAATCACAGCGAAGTTAACGTGGCAAAATATGATTCGCAGATAGAGAACTCTGTTTGTCAAGGAATCCCGAAACAACCAATCAGAAGCCTGCGTTTGTCTACCTAAACAACCAATCAGATGACTGCGCTTGTCTATAATAATGTTGTCTGAAATATGTATAAATACGTGTTGATTTTCATAATAAAACGATCTGTTGCCTGGCCCTTGTCTTCTGTTGTTACATTTGGTGTCGCTGCCTACCGACAAATGAAAAGCCTATACCCTGCAGTTTTTGATGGAGACATATGGATCTTCGGGCAGGACTTCAAGGCTTCTGCGCAGTTGAGTGGCGTTCAAGATCTGTCAGCGATGGAGCTGCTACTTGAGACGCTGCTGGGAGGTCGGGCGAAAGCAGCATATGAAGGTGTGGGCCGAAGTATGGACGAATGTTCGACAGGGTCAGGCAAACAGTTTCCAAAGTGGGAAGGACCATATATGGTCACTTCGAGACGGGGTTACGCAGACACAGTCGCAATGGCGAACAATAAGAGGCGCGTGAACGTCAGCGAGCTCCAGAAATGGATACAGCGAGACAAGCCAACGATGACGCCTGCACCAAGTAGATCAAGCCGACTTCAGTCGCACGTATTTGACGGGGGGACGAGTGTGGTGAGAGCAGGCTGCTAGCCGATTGGTTGGCACTAATCTACGTTAAGGTCTAGGTCACTAATATGGGCCGTGAACAAGGCTGAGTCAACAACCAATCACAGCGAAGTTAACGTGGCAAAATATGATTCGCAGATAGAGAACTCTGTTTGTCAAGGAATCCCGAAACAACCAATCAGAAGCCTGCGTTTGTCTACCTAAACAACCAATCAGATGACTGCGCTTGTCTATAATAATGTTGTCTGAAATATGTATAAATACGTGTTGATTTTCATAATAAAACGATCTGTTGCCTGGCCCTTGTCTTCTGTTGTTACACCGGAACCCGGTAATATGGCTTAAATCGTCCTCCTTGATTGCTCAGATCCATACATTCTTTGTGATTCACTATATACAATAAAGTTCTATTGTTCTTTCAAAGGACTATTCTTTTTGACTCCTCCTACTGTTTGTAACATCTCTTTTGAACTTGTCTTTACTTTTTCCTCCTGCTTTGTTTTCTACGAGGAGGAAGAGTGTCAACTCTAAGTGCTGTACATCTGTGCAAAGTTCTACATTGTAACCAGTCAGTCAATCTCTGAAGCAGGAACACAAGACTAACCTATGACTGTTAAATTTCACGACAAAATCATTCAGAGACACACCACAAGCTGTCAGCACAGAATTTGACGTTTGGCAATAGATAATTCCTTATGTGTAGGCCAGACGTACATCTTTTTTTATCACAGCTTGATTCCACACCGTATTTTTCACACAGGTATGGAATTTTCAGCATGTGATATCGGTAGCCCAAATTTCACAGGCCGACCATAAATATCAGGTGTGCGTCGGCAGGGGATCGAACCTCGGACCATGTGCATGGTCGGTGAGAGTTCTAACCACTGTGCCACCGACGCACACAGACGTACATCAACTCTAATCCCCTGAATATAGTCATTTGGTTATCACTAATGTCAGGCTTGAAGAGAGAAGCAAGATATTGGGTGATTGGTTGAAGCAATTCCATATTGCTGGTCTATAACAACACCTGTGCTTTCTGGTTGCATATAATGTTTCTAATCAGTGTAATCCAAGACGAATATGCATTTCTTAATAATATCTATACACACTGGGTAATAGGAGTTATTAAAAAGACAATTGCAGCGAAGAAAATTTTCGTTTCGACGAAGTCATCGCCTAGGCTGTACATTCGTGTATTTATATCAAATGGATGGGAAAGTTCCAGAATAATTTCCGGTCGAGGGTCAAATTAATACAATTAGGAATTAAAATGCCATAATAAACAGGGGGACGGATAAAACTCAAACAAAGTAGCATCATAATAATTAAGAAGATTGACATTGTGCAATTGGAGGTTAGAAATGTAGAAATAGCAAAATAGACAGGATGTTTGGACAAAAAAACTAATGTGATGAATAATTGTTTATGCAATCAGGGATTAAATATGTGGAAATAGTAAAATGAAAAAATAAACACGAAGTTCAGGCATGAAATATGGTATTGTAAACAGGGATTGAGAAAAACTTAAAATAACATGCATAAACAGGAAGTCTAGATAAGAAAGGCGATGGGATGGTCATTACTAAAAAAATTTACCTGTTTATGATGGCCATGGCAGGGACAGGGGTCTGACGTATTTCTTTTGGAGACAAAGCGTGGGTTTGAGCTTTCGGATAGCTAGTGCCTCAGCTATGCCCAGATGTCTTGATTTCACTCCCTTTAATAGGTTTGATTGAATCTTGTATATTACTTTGAAGGATTTTTCGAAATTAGTTTTTTTATCCAAACATCCTGTCTATTGTGTTATTTCTACATTTCTAACCTCCAATTGCACAATGTCAATCTTCTTAATTATTATGATGCTACTTTGTTTGAGTTTTATCCGTCCCCCTGTTTATTATGGCATTTTAATTCCTAATTGTATTAATTTGACCCTCGACCGGAAATTATTCTGGAACTTTCCCATCCATTTGATATAAATACACGAATGTACAGCCTAGGCGATGACTTCGTCGAAACGAAAATTTTCTTCGCTGTCAGAGAGAATAAGTTGAGTTTGAGAATGAATACCGTAGTGAAATACAATCTGCAGTGTAAACATTGTCTTAGTAAACTAAAATATTTATAATAACAGATATACATCACAGAAATACTGTAAAGCATTCATTACACACGCAGATAACAACACTGCGAATAATTAACTCTTATGACTGGGAGAGACAATATGTGTACTTCAGCTGAACTCACTTCCTGTAGTCATATGTATATCTTCCTTCTTGACCGAATCTGAAATGCGAGCAGGAAAAACACGCTTCAATAATTATCAAAAACAATTAATTCAGTTTAGATGCATAAAAAATCTCGACATGAATTTAACTGAGTGTGCACGGTAATATTTTTTTTAATACAGCTTAATTCCACACCGTATTTTTGGTACAAGTATGGAATTTTCAGCATGGATATCGGTAGCCCAAATTTCGCAGGCCGACCATAGATATCAAGGTGTGCGTCGGCGTGGGCTCGAACCCCGGACCATGCGCATAGTCCGTGAGAGTCCTAACCACTGTGCCACCGATGCACTGTGGCACTGTGTAAAACTAGGACACTGTGGTAGTAAGTAATTCCATATTAGTTTGTTTATTAGATATATCACACAGTGAAACAATATTACTTAAGGGGTGACACAGTTTTGAACAAAATTTATTGTTCATAATCAAATCGCTTGTAACCACACGGCTTTGAAAGTTGAGTTGTCTTCTCTTGTTTGTCATCGTCGAGGTAGTAGAACTTTCCAGATATGAGGGACAGGTTTTGGATCATTCCTATTACATGTATTTGCAGTTGATTCAGTAAACAAACCTTCTGTTATCAATCTCTCTCCCCCCACTCTGCGACATTAGATTTTAAAACTGTCATCCTATCCCATCTTATTGTATGGTCGTGTGTGACTGCATGTAGTGCTATAGCTGAACTATTCTCTAGATTTCATATCTTATTCGGGCCAACAAATCTAGATTTCGCTAGGATTTTATGCTCGGCTAGTCTGACTGTCCCTGTTCTACTAGTTTGACCTATATATTTGACCTGACAATCATTCCAGCAGGGTATTAGATAAACTAAATTGTTTTGTTTTATGGGCTCCATAGGATTGATGCTGCAACCGACAAAGCTTATTTCTCATTGAGTTTATGGTTGGTTTCAATGCCAGCAACCTTTATTCATGCCTTGTTAAGAATTCTGCCTAAGGCTTTCGAGGTTCCTTCCTTGTATGGAATTACTACTGATGATTTAGATCCCTTATTGTTGGTGTCGTCATTAATATTATCATTATCAGTATCAATAATATCATTATTTATTTTATTTTCAGATTTCCCTACATATTTCCTGACTAAGTTATCCGATTGATTATTAAGTTTCAAGGCTTCTTTTATGTGTATCACTTCCTGTCTTAGATTTTCTTTGGTACTACTTAGTTTTTGTGCTCTGTCATTTAAACATTTTACCAATCCTATTTTTACTGATATAGGATGGGATGATCGGAAGTCCAAATATCTGTTTGAATGTGTCACTGGGTTTTCTGTAAACACTAGTATTTAGCCTCCCCTTTTCTTTCGTTCTTCAGTTCAATTCACTTATGAATTGGAAAATCAGGAAGGAAAACTTCTAATGTTAGATTGCGACTTAGAAAGGATAGAAGATGGGAAGTTAAACACTAGTGTTTACAGAAAGCCCAGTGACACATTCAAGCAGATATTTGGACTTCAGATCATCCCATCCTATGTCAGTAAAAATAGGATTGGTAAAATGTTTAAGTGACAGAGCACAAAAACTAAGTAGTACCAAGGAACATCTAAAACAAGAAATGATACACATAAAAGAAGCCTTGAAACGTAATAATTATCCGGATAAATTAGTCAGGAAATATGTAAGGAATTCTAAAAATAAAATAAATAATGACAGTAGCGATGGTAATAATAATATTAATGACGACACCAACAATAAGGAATCTAAATCATCAGTAGTAATTCCATACAAGAAAGGAACCTCGGAAGCCTTACGCAGAATTCTTAACAAGGCAGGAATAAAAGTGGCATTCAAACCCCCAAACTCAATGAGAAACAATCTTTGTCGGTTGCAGGATCAATCCTGTGGTGCCTTTGAAACAAAACGAATGAGTGTTCATGGATTGGACAGCAAAAGTGAGCTGGTACAGTTTAGCCGAGTAACTTTTGGCATAATATGTACATGTTCAATACGTGCCAGGCACGTCAATTCATCAGCTGCAAAGGTTCAATAAATGGAAGTGAGAACCAAGAAAAGTTTTCTCTTTGGAGAAATCAGCAGTGAAACGAATCCAATTCTCTATAAAACAGAAAGTCTAATTATTATTTAAGTAACTTTGATTAGGCCCCTGTGCGTCAGCCGATGTGTCATCTTTCGATGAAAGCAAAAATAAACATGAGGACATGTTTACAATTCTTGCAAGATGTTTGGAGTCGGGAAGGCTGCTATGGTTGCCAAAGAAATGACAAGACATAGCATAGAAGTTTTAGAAATCTGTATGATTAGATGAGATGTATTTGGACTATTGAAACTGTCACTAGGATGACAATCAACAGCGTACTAAAGAATTGGCTATCATTCAAAGGTCTTATGGAGTGAGAATTAATATCATCAAGGATACTGAAAGCAAGATTCAACTCAAAAGGAAGGAAGGAAGTTTACACTAATCCAATGCTATACACCTTTAAAAAATTCAGAAGAAGAGAAGAAGGAAGATTTCTATAGACAACTGCCAGCAGTTATGGACAATATCTCAAATGAAGAAATCAAAGTCCTTGTAGGCGAAATGAAAGCCAAACTAGGAGCTGACAATAATGGAAGTGATTTTATCATGTGTTGAGAGGCCCTAGCTCTGAGAGGTGAATGACGATAGAGAGAGAACTTTTCACATTTAATGATTTGATGATTGCAGGCTGCCTGTGCAAGGGCGAGAATATAGACCAGACGACATGGATTTCACCTGACAAGTATACAAAATATCAGATAGATTTCATCTCAGTTTCAAGAAAATGGAGACGCAGTCTGCTGGAAATAAAACCGAAAAGTGAAGGTGCAGATATGGACCTTTAAGGTCAAGCTGAAGGCCTTCTAAGAAACTGACGGTAGACCACAATTTGATCAATAGTTTCTCTTTGCGTTTGTCAACATTAGGAATCCTCGACTGGAATGAAACCGCCCTGTTTCACTCCCTGGTTTACACTCATCCCCTAAGTGATTTTTGTATATGGGAAAGTCATTATTGAAAGTCATCCGATTCCTTAAATATCCACCATATCAATAATATATGAATTGTTGTGTTTATGCGCATACATACGGACTAATATCACTTCAATATATCATACCTTTTTTACAAAAACGCTTCTTTTATGAGTCTCAGATTAAGTCCACAGTCTAAAAGTAGCACTGCAAAAGGGTGGCCTAATGTTTCAGATATAATACTACCAAATTTCAACTCTACGCATCATCATCGAAAAAAGCATGGAATGGCAATCAAACATCTACCTCAACTTTATAGACTTTGAGAAGGCCTTTGACAGCGTTGTCCACGGAGTAATTTGGAAACTACTCGAGTACTATGGCGTACCCCAAATATTCATCAACCTTATTCAACAGCTGTACGATAACGGCACATGTCAAGTGATCCACAACGGAAAACCTAGCGAGGCGTTTGGAGTAAACACAGGAGTCAGACAAGGGTGCTTACTATCACCAATGATATTCTTAATTGTGGTGGACTGGATTATGCATCCTACAGTGCGAAAGCGGAAGTCAGAAATATCCTTAACCAACGTGAAGAACCTAGAGGAACTGGATTTCGCGCGTGGATTATTTATGCTTGATGTCACACATAATTGAAGACTTACAAGCGAAAACCGTCAAACTGGTCGAAGAAGCAGCAAAGACAGGACTCCAGGTGAATTCAGACAAGATGGAGGTGATGTAAATAACCAACCAACAACAACAACAGTAACATCCAGCGCCAATCAACATCAAAGGGAGGCATTTAAAAGAGGTTACTTCATTCACTTATCTAGGGAGCATTGTCTCAACTACACGCAGTCAGAACCAACGAGGATGTCAAATCGAGCGAGAATCGGGAAGGCGAGGAATTCATTCATCAACCTGAAACCAATCTGGAAATCTTCGTCACTCAGCCAGCATCAACAACAAAATTCCGTCAGATTTTCAGTACAAACGTAAAGTCAGTCAGTTCTTCTATACGGATCAGAAACTTGGCGGGCGGGTCACAAAGAATATTTCCAACAGGCTAACTCAGACCTTTATCAACAACAACTGTCTTCGCTCTATACTGAAGATCAGATGGCCAGGCCGGAAAGAATCACCAACAAGAAACTATGCGAACAAACAAACAAACAAAACAAGAACCAATCGATCGCCCAACACAAATATGGAGGAGAAAGTGGAGATGGATTGGACACTAGCTAAGGAGGCCACTGGGTGATGTCACGCGCACGTCAGGCCATTGCTCGAGTGGAACCCGGAAAGGAAGCGGCGAGTGGGACGTCGGTGCAAGGGTGACATGGAGGAGATCGTGTGAAGAGGAGTTGAAACAGCATGGATGGTGAACATGGATGCAGGTGAAAAGTACAGCAGCAGAAGACAGAAGCAAGTGGAGATGTGCAGCTGAAGCCCTATGTTCCACTAGGAACCCAAAGGAACAATAATAATAATAATTGTTCTCAGAAGAGCAAAGTACACAAAATCGTGTATTGAGTGAATGCAACAAAGGCTTCGATGAATTTACTGTAGGCGAATTTTCACAGATTAACTGTTAACATTAAATATTTTGTTAAATGTAGGTGAGTACTTACGAGGATTTGATGTGGTAATGGTTGTTCTATTGTAGTCTGGAATCAAAGCGAAATAGAAGGAGAGAACGAAAATATGGGTTAAATATTATAATACACATTATCAGATATTACTAAAAGCATTTCAGCAATACATATTCTACATCAACGTTAAAGTCAATATCCCTTGCTAAATATTCATCGTTGAGAGTGTAGTCGGAGAAGACACTGATCAGTCGGCTTATTTACAAAGTACCATAAGAAATATAACTATCAATTTTCCACTAGGTTCCGAGTAGAACACATGGCCTCAACAGCACATATCCGTTTCCTATTGTTCTGTATGTGCACTTTCAACTGTCTCTACGATTTCCCGTAAACTTTCAACTCCTCTACAAAATATGTCCTCTATGACACTCTCGATTCAATCCCAAATTTGCAGTTTCACTTCTTTTAGCCTGCCTGGAACGCGAAATCACTCGACAGTGCTGTCAACGTGTGTTCAAACAGCCTCCATTTTGTCCAGTATACCTGTTGGGCGATAGATCTCTAGTTGGTAGCTTCTCAGAGGTCTTTTCCATCACCAATTCAGTATGGAACGAAAGAAGCTGCTGACAAACATGTGGTGCTTGTTGGAAATGCTTCCGCCGGGATCCTAAAGCCTTTGAACCACATAAAAATACTTGAAGTGATTACTGAATATTGGAATCCTGTTTATATTGCTCAGTGAAACAGATTCCCAGACCGCTTTCATAATAATGAATGTCTTTCTTATATATTTTCGCTTTTGTTTTCGACATCCTTCAAACGATGCTGCCTATACGAGATCTACTCATTGGATACGGAGGTATATCCATAAGTTAGCGCACGATGAGCACCTTAGATTTCAGCGATGATCATCATCGATAAGATCACGTTGTTTTGGTCATCAGACATCATTAAGGTGTCTGTCCAAAGAGTTGACATTATTAAAAGAGCCTAAAATCTGCGATTTTCAGGTTATGACAGTCAACTGGAAATTTGAGTTAACTCAAACAAATATACCTGTGACTGGCCACTCGCTTAAGTTTCTGTCCATGTTAACTGAAAAATAAGCAGGGAATATGCGAGCAAATATTTTGGCATTCAAAATGCTAAGGCATATGGTAAAGATATGGCATGAATACTTTCCAAATTTATGGAGAAACATTTGTAGCTAAATCAGGGTATTTTGGCAAAGGATTGTATTCTGCATAGATGGTTTCCAATTCATTCAGTGTTTATGACTTCAACTTTTGTTCAATAACTTATCAGCTTATCAGCATATGCTTTAGGTGTGAATGTTTTCGTCAACTTTTTGCTATTAAAGCATCAATTTTTATAGCTCTGCCGCACCGTCTCTGACTTCAGTCACTACTGGTTTATACAGCTTCGAGTCTCAGAAACGACATGAATTCCTTCAAGACTGCAGATATGCTTTGCTGACAAATGTCACAACACCCAAGGTGCAAGGCTTCCTGCCGATTTCTATCAACCATGTAATAACAGTAATAATTCAGAGTGCAAAGTGATGGGGAGCCACCTAGCATGATGGTGGCCACATCGTAAACTCGACAGATAGAATTCAGTCTGTAGCAAACGAAGGACAAGATGCACGACATTAGATAGTGTTCGATCATAGGACATGGTTTCCTTCAGTATTTCAAGTTATGTATTATCGCTGACCAGAGGTTTTGTAACTACTTATATGTAAACCTGTCCAGAAATGTCATCAGTAAAAACACAGAACTGCCAGCAAACAGTGCCCTTCAGATAAATTGATATAAGTCTTGAATACCGTACAATTCAAGACGTTTGTGAAAGCATATCTTCGCCATACGGACCTCCTAGAAGAGCTGATAACGTAATCAGAACGTAAAACTCATGACTCCTGCAAATATCGTGTGTTACAGTCGATTGATTTCAAGTGAACTGATTGAGTTGAATGCTGGTAGATTGAGCTATCAATAAGTCATGAGACTGTCACATCACGAATGCAGATAAGACCGATGTTTGTATCTTACAGACTTTACACAACATGCCAAATAAAATATATTTGATGATAATAAAAATAAAATCTTACCAGCAGCAAATGTATCTAAAAGGCAAAGAAAATTATGCATCAGTTAATGAGCAGAACTCACGAAATCTTTCAATCACTTGACTGGAATGACACTTGTGCAGCATAACTCGTGAAGTGTTCTCGTCATGTAACAGCAGGATTTCGGTAGTATGTTAAAGTACAATTCCCTAACAGATAAGTTGACTAAATTTGAAACACATCGACGTTTGGAGTACAAATTTATTTATATGGCTTCATAATTTTGTTGTAACTGTATTTTTCTCTTCCCTGAATGTATTTATTAAAACTTTTTTTAATTTGCCCTGTGAAGGCGTTGCAACATTTCTTTTGCTTGTGTGTGGTTTTAAATCAATAAAGAGTGAGTCTGTGATTAACATCTCTATATCTCATTCTCCACCTCATTATACTACTTTTGAATAATCTCACCCTTCTCTCACACTTACTGTGAGATTACATGTTAGTCAGTGAATTGCCATGACTGAGTATTTCTGTGGGTTATTTAACTGAACAGGGTGAATCATTCTATGTTCCGCTTGATTTTTATGTTTTAATAGTTGAAATGACCTTGTTCTACTAGTTTTGATGTATTTAGTTCAGCCCACTCACAGTCGTTACAATATGGCATTTGGTAAATTAAAATTATTTTTCTTAAATGGATCTGCCAGGTCATTAAGCTCAAAACGTTTACCTCTGAGTGAGTGAGGGGGTCTGTGAGTTGGCTGTTTTAAAAGGCCGCCATGACTAATTGTAACCTCATTGAGAATCCAACATAAAACCTCTGACAATGTTCTTTCCTTATCCAGAAGTTCTACAGAGGCTTTGAATTCTATATTCCCCATGTTATTTTGTCATTTCTATTACCGATGCTATTTTTTTATTTGGTTCTTCATTAACTTGTGAATAAATTCTTAGGGGTAGTGTGTTATTCATTAGTGATATTTTCTTTATTTCTTTCACTTCATTATTTCAATCTTCTAGTTTAGTCTTTGGTCTCCTAGCCAAGTTGTTTAGACAATTGACTAAAATCATCTTCACCGATTCTGGATAGGATGAAGTAAAGTCTAAGTACTTACTAGAATGTGCCGTTTAAGTACAGTTAAGGTAACACATAATTGAACACTCAAAATTGCTTCTTAAACCTGAAGCCTAAACCTAAATGCCTGTATGGGATATCTGATGAAATCAGAATACGAACCACCACCTCCAGGGAAGTAATATATGTAAACAAATATATGGCAAATTAGATATAAACTGAAATATGATTATGATGAATAAATTGTGCTTGAAACGTCATCCAGTTAATAATAGGACATCATCATATTCTTATTAAATGAACTTATATCATATGTAATTATATCCTGACACAATGCACAGATTCCACTCTTACGATAACGATTCTTAGATTGTTTGATTGATATTTCATCCACTGAGGTACCTTTGATGTCATTTCTTTATTATTATTATTTGGGGTAAAATCATGCCTAGTAAACACTGTCAACCGTCAGTGATTTTGTTAAATCTCAAATAATGCTGAACAAATGCATGATAAATAGCTCAGGCACCAATACATTTCTGTTTCAATTGTACATGTCTTATTTTGAGCCAAGTAAACAGTTCATATGTGTCAACAATACTAATTAATATTAGATCACTAACTACTACTAGTTAGAGAACAGATAAAAACTAGAACTGAGTACTGGACATCTATGTCATGCCCCTAGTTTTACACTCTTCGGAAGTACACATCCACCAGAGTGGCAACCCAAAGCTTTCGTGTTACGAGGGCAGATCGTAGACCATTCAGCAACTGGTACCTAATTCAGTGTCCCAGGAATTCCAGCTCCCATCAATTTGTGATTTTAACGCCACTACAAGTAAGTGTCACTGGTGAGTATTTCTTCTCATTTTTGATCCTTGGTCACACTAGGAATCCTGCAGCTAATCACAAACAAGTATCGGATTAATTGTCATGAGTTTGTCCTATGGGATCGGATTTGCTTCAGGTATGATCACAGATTGAAATCGCTCTAAAATCACAAGTTGGTAGAAGTTAGGATTCATGTGTATTTGCATCGAGTCCCTGTGATTGAGTGGTCTACAAGCTTAACTTGTAACCAGAAGGTCTTGGGTTCGGAAAGATGTGAATGTGTACTTCCGATGCGTCCGAAACTATGGGGACTAAACACCTGTCCACAACTCACTTTGGGCTTGCAATACCTGTCTAACTGATATCACTCCGTGCCCATCTTGCAACAAACATTTCAAAAACAATAATTCAAGCTATGATATACACAGAGGATTAATAATTCTCAATTTATTCCCCTTTGTTATTAACGTGTTAGTAAAAAATGGAACAAAGGATCTGTCTTTTCTTGTCAATTATTGTTTCTTTATGTATCAGGAAATTGGCTAATCCATCACCAGACGTACTTCAAACAAGCTTTTACAGACTTTGAAGAACCCATTTGAATCTCTTGTTGTCAGTCAGAGGTGATTTTCTACAAGGAACTGTTGGAACGACCCTACTGATAACCTAATACGCTAAAAATAGACCGAAGTGAACATTGATGGACTCGATATATGCTGAGAAAACTGTTGCGCGGGTGATATCAGACAATACACAGCTTCTTGGAAAAAAGCTCAATTGAATAAAGGAGGATATGGAAACTAATAGACAGCCATCGAGTCAGATGAAAATCAACCTAGAGAAGCAAATGAAATGCAGATATGCTGTTAAGGCAATGTGTTCTACTTGAGAAGTATGAAGGAAAACAGTATATATACAAACAAATATTCAAGATAATATCTAAAATGGTGTTTAAAAATAATTTTAAAAAAAGATTCCAAATGCAGTTACTACAGTAATATAAATATCTACCTTACCTTGAAAGAGTAGCGCGGCTAGAATATCGCAGAACATCAAACAGAAAAACATCATGTTACGAACAACAAAAAATACAGAGAAAAAATGAAGCCGCATAAAATATTTATAAGAAATATGGCAGAATATCGACCAAAAAAAAAAGAGTGTCCGTTTTATTGTCTGTCTGTCTGTCCATGTCTTCACCTCAATGAAATTCACATAAAACTTTATACATCAAAACGAAGTATTGTGGACCATCCGCTCCTATCAACATTTCATTCTTATAGTAGTATCTTTCTATATTCAGCATGACATCTGTGACCGGCTTCATCTCAGATAACAGTCAATGGAATTTTGTTATTGTTCTTTGTTTTTCTTCCGTCAACATTCCACACTTTAAATGTAATCAGCATTACAGTGAGTTGTGAAGGTCTTTTCTTGTTTTGTTAGTCAAAATCCGCAATTGGCCTACTGTTTTAATATTTTACGACTACATATGTTGATGGTATGCGAAGCCAAGTGAGTTGAATGCATTGGATATGAGGATATGGTGAATTAGTTTGATAAAATATCTGCGTGTGTGCGTGTGTTTTTGTGTGTGCCTATTTATAGTAGACCAAATTTTCTGTGTGAATAATATGGAAGCGTTTTCAGAAAATATAAGTCTCATATCAAACCTTCCATTTTGACTGAACTTACCATAGGCTTAGCTAGGTTTACGAATCCGTCGGCCGGTAGATCAACCCCAAACGACATACATATTTGGTAGGCATTCCACAGATGTACCGTCGACACTCATGTCTTAACGTGCTCCAGACTAACATGATCCCGTGAGCTTCATTTTTTTCTGTCAACAAAACGTCTAATGAAGTGTATATTCAATGCTTGTCAATGACAGTGACTAACAGTTAAACAGAACTGCCATAGCGTGCTATTGCGAAGATATTTTTCAGAGTAGAAACCTAGGCGGGCTTCCTCACCATCTAGACGACATCAAGTATACTCTTTACTCGAACGGATTTCAACTTCGTGATAGAATACAGGTCAAGTTAAAGTATCACGACGCGGCAGTGAAAATGTTTCAAAGACCTGATGTAGCGGTGACTTAACCATTAAACAACCACCAAATTCATCATTTTATGTTCAAGTATTTCTCCCGTACAGCAACCACAATCAACGTCTTCATGAAATAACGTAGTGCTAACCTTGCTTCTCACAATTCCAAAAACTTGAATGAAATCAACTCATTTCCTATTATGTAAAGCAAGCTCCATTAAGTGTTCTGGAAAATTATCTACAAAATAGCAGCTTTGTGCAACGTTCTCTGATACTTCATGGATGCAGCGTTTATTGTGCTGGTTTGTAACTATTCTCACATTCACGGATGTGATACGCCCGTAGAACATTGAGTCATACTGTCTTCTCCATTTGGTTTATGATTGTGTACATGTGTGCATTTAGTGCTCGGATTCACCACTACTCTTCTACTCTTTGGTCTTATTGAGGTGAATACGTTGACGTGTACTTAATCGAGATGATTAACTACCAGTACTACTACTGCTACTACTCTAACGGCAAATATTGTGGCGTATCCTACTGATGAGATATGCGTAAATATTATATAGACACAGGCGGAGGTGGATTACGTGACGCAGAGAATAACTTAATGATCAACAATAGGTGAAGTTGGCACTATGAATGACTTACGATTACGAATATCTCAGATTTGCAGTAATCGATCTTCAAAACAGACATCTAGATACGCATGGACTATTGGATTGGATCCCAATAGATGAATGGTGGTAAACCACGTCGCCTTGCTACAGGACAATCTTGGCTTCCTACGCTGGCAATGGAAACTTAAGGTTCAATGATTCTCAAACTACGGGGATGAAACAGTTTGCTACCCTCCTATTTTCCCAACGAGTATCTAACTCGTGGTCAAACCTTTAACGAATCAAATCACTCCAGGCAAACACTTGATAACCCATATATATTTGCATTAAATGATAATGCTCTTATTTACAGATGATATCACAGACGAATGCCTAAAGACAGCTTGTCCATCTGTTTTTCTCTCCATGTGTTCATCTCAATGAAATTCACATAAAACTTTATACATCAAAACGAAGTATTGTGGACCATCCGCTCCTATCAACATTTCATTCTTATAGTAGTATCTTTCTATATTCAGCATGACATCTGTGACCGGCTTCATCTCAGATAACAGTCAATGGAATTTTGTTATTGTTCTTTGTTTTTCTTCCGTCAACATTCCACACTTTAAATGTAATCAGCATTACAGTGAGTTGTGAAGGTCTTTTCTTGTTTTGTTAGTCAAAATCCGCAATTGGCCTACTGTTTTAATATTTTACGACTACATATGTTGATGGTATGCGAAGCCAAGTGAGTTGAATGCATTGGATATGAGGATATGGTGAATTAGTTTGATAAAATATCTGCGTGTGTGCGTGTGTTTTTGTGTGTGCCTATTTATAGTAGACCAAATTTTCTGTGTGAATAATATGGAAGCGTTTTCAGAAAATATAAGTCTCATATCAAACCTTCCATTTTGACTGAACTTACCATAGGCTTAGCTAGGTTTACGAATCCGTCGGCCGGTAGATCAACCCCAAACGACATACATATTTGGTAGGCATTCCACAGATGTACCGTCGACACTCATGTCTTAACGTGCTCCAGACTAACATGATCCCGTGAGCTTCATTTTTTTCTGTCAACAAAACGTCTAATGAAGTGTATATTCAATGCTTGTCAATGACAGTGACTAACAGTTAAACAGAACTGCCATAGCGTGCTATTGCGAAGATATTTTTCAGAGTAGAAACCTAGGCGGGCTTCCTCACCATCTAGACGACATCAAGTATACTCTTTACTCGAACGGATTTCAACTTCGTGATAGAATACAGGTCAAGTTAAAGTATCACGACGCGGCAGTGAAAATGTTTCAAAGACCTGATGTAGCGGTGACTTAACCATTAAACAACCACCAAATTCATCATTTTATGTTCAAGTATTTCTCCCGTACAGCAACCACAATCAACGTCTTCATGAAATAACGTAGTGCTAACCTTGCTTCTCACAATTCCAAAAACTTGAATGAAATCAACTCATTTCCTATTATGTAAAGCAAGCTCCATTAAGTGTTCTGGAAATTTATCTACAGAATAGCAGCTTTGTGCAACGTTCTCTGATACTTCATGGATGCAGCGTTTATTGTGCTAGTTTGTAACTATTCTCACATTCACGGATGTGATACGCCCGTAGAACATTGAGTCATACTGTCTTCTCCATTTGGTTTATGATTGTGTACATGTGTGCATTTAGTGCTCGGATTCACCACTACTCTTCTACTCTTTGGTCTTATTGAGGTGAATACGTTGACGTGTACTTAATCGAGATGATTAACTACCAGTACTACTACTGCTACTACTCTAACGGCAAATATTGTGGCGTATCCTACTGATGAGATATGCGTAAATATTATATAGACACAGGCGGAGGTGGATTACGTGACGCAGAGAATAACTTAATGATCAACAATAGGTGAAGTTGGCACTATGAATGACTTACGATTACGAATATCTCAGATTTGGAGTAATCGATCTTCAAAACAGACATCTAGATACGCATGGAATATTGGATTGGATCCCAATAGATGAATGGTGGTAAACCACGTCGCCTTGCTACAGGACAATCTTGGCTTCCTACGCTGGCAATGGAAACTTAAGGTTCAATGATTCTCAAACTACGGGGATGAAACAGTTTGCTACCCTCCTATTTTCCCAACGAGTATCTAACTCGTGGTCAAACCTTTAACGAATCAAATCACTCCAGGCAAACACTTGATAACCCATATATATTTGCATTAAATGATAATGCTCTTATTTACAGATGATATCACAGACGAATGCCTAAAGACAGCTTGTCCATCTGTTTTTCTCTCCATGTGTTCATCTCAATGAAATTCACATAAAACTTTATACATCAAAACGAAGTATTGTGGACCATCCGCTCCTATCAACATTTCATTCTTATAGTAGTATCTTTCTATATTCAGCATGACATCTGTGACCGGCTTCATCTCAGATAACAGTCAATGGAATTTTGTTATTGTTCTTTGTTTTTCTTCCGTCAACATTCCACACTTTAAATGTAATCAGCATTACAGTGAGTTGTGAAGGTCTTTTCTTGTTTTGTTAGTCAAAATCCGCAATTGGCCTACTGTTTTAATATTTTACGACTACATATGTTGATGGTATGCGAAGCCAAGTGAGTTGAATGCATTGGATATGAGGATATGGTGAATTAGTTTGATAAAATATCTGCGTGTGTGCGTGTGTTTTTGTGTGTGCCTATTTATAGTAGACCAAATTTTCTGTGTGAATAATATGGAAGCGTTTTCAGAAAATATAAGTCTCATATCAAACCTTCCATTTTGACTGAACTTACCATAGGCTTAGCTAGGTTTACGAATCCGTCGGCCGGTAGATCAACCCCAAACGACATACATATTTGGTAGGCATTCCACAGATGTACCGTCGACACTCATGTCTTAACGTGCTCCAGACTAACATGATCCCGTGAGCTTCATTTTTTTCTGTCAACAAAACGTCTAATGAAGTGTATATTCAATGCTTGTCAATGACAGTGACTAACAGTTAAACAGAACTGCCATAGCGTGCTATTGCGAAGATATTTTTCAGAGTAGAAACCTAGGCGGGCTTCCTCACCATCTAGACGACATCAAGTATACTCTTTACTCGAACGGATTTCAACTTCGTGATAGAATACAGGTCAAGTTAAAGTATCACGACGCGGCAGTGAAAATGTTTCAAAGACCTGATGTAACGGTGACTTAACCATTAAACAACCACCAAATTCATCATTTTATGTTCAAGTATTTCTCCCGTACAGCAACCACAATCAACGTCTTCATGAAATAACGTAGTGCTAACCTTGCTTGTCACAATTCCAAAAACTTGAATGAAATCAACTCATTTCCTATTATGTAAAGCAAGCTCCATTAAGTGTTC